ATCCGATCTTTCCGATGTAGGCTGTTCGATTGACGATCTTGAGTGATCTACACTTAAAAGAAGGGAAACATCAATGACCCACCAGTTTTTTGCTAAACACCCATCACCCATATCTATTGCCGTAATCTACTCGATATACGCCTCCTGATTGGTATTATTTAGATCACTGCCGTTTTCGGAAGTAATTTACAATCCCTTCCACAAATAACTAATGCTAGATTTAAGAAATTATGCATGCTTCCAGTCGATAATGTGTGATAATCTATTATTCAGCTACTTCCCCCACTAAACACTGGAACCCGAGCATCAAGTAGTGGAGGCATCCTACAGTTAGGACATTCCTTGACATGAGTAAGTACACTTACCTGGCTCTATCATAAATTGCTTGCGTTTAACCACCGTACGGCATTGTCTTCAATTTTCCAGTACGGTAAAGACGAGGCCAAGACGTAACCCTTGCAAGACTCCAGTGCACGTGTCATGGAAGGTCAAAGTGTTGTCAAAGAGATACATAGTACGTGTGGGTCATCTACGTGTGTCTTATCTGTGTCCGTCACGGCAAGAAGCTTTGCTGCGGTACTATGGTATGTGACTGGAAGGTGTACGTGTGACAAAAGCGACAAAGTGAGAAACTGTTCGACGCTAATGAATTAATAAATCTCGACTTGTGAGATCGCTGATATAGTAAAGGATATAAGCATTGTGGCTTCAACAAGATTAATATTGCGAGGGACGAATGAGAAGGTTTTATCTGCATTTGAGAGCAGGAGGCAGACAGGGTCACACCAATGTGTGGATTTCTTATAGTAAAATATTCCGCGATATGATGATGTAATGAGTGTGGTGGACAGATTGACGAGGTGGAAGAAAGTAAACTGTTTATCGAATATTGCGGTGTGAAACTTAAGTCTAGACAAGATGCCTCTTTTCGACAGTGGTATTCTAAATCCTACCAATCTGAAGGCGTAAATCGAGTAAATTACGGTCACATGTTGACATCAAATATATCGACCCTACTAATCAGGTACAGATCGAGTTAATTACGATAACGCATAAGGGCGGTGGGTAATTTAAGGAAAACCTGGTGAGTGTTTATGTTTCTTTTAGAATTAATGAGTTAAAGTTTCATGATGTATGATGGGATTTAAGTAAGGTCTTATTGGTTCATAACTTGAACATAATTTGCTCCGCAAGATACGATGAGGCTTAATTCAGTCCTGATAGAAAGCGATAGTCACACACGCGCACCAATGCCGGTACGTGATTAAACTAAAAGTGACCGAGGGCCCAATACACTGTTAGAAGAATCCTTACTACTTAATGCAGCATTGGGATGTTACAGCTTGGAGCTTTAGAACGCAGTGAAATGAAGGATAGGATATAAGGATCAAAATGATAGTAAACCCGACAGATTATTAAAATTGATGATCGAAGGCTAAGTGTGATTAAATCGGATATACGGGTGCTACTTGGCTCTTGTGTGAAATGCTATAATATGGGTTGTGCGCACTAATTCTTTTTACGAAAAGCTTTGCTTAAACGTTGATATTGGTAGATTTTTAGTGAAATGAGCGTTGATGCTACATTTGTGGGGTCTGACACTTTTTAACTACAGAGCTGGTGTCAAACCCGCCTTCGTTTTGTCTCGAATATGTAGATACCAAATGGTTTAAAAAAGTTTATGTATTCGTATGTTATAGTTGCGCAACTAAAACCAATTTAGAATTATTTGTGATTAAATAGTAAGAACACTTTACTTAAAGGTCCTCATGGGGTTCCCCCTTGTGTCTTGATTAAGCAACGTCGTTCCAACAAAATGGTTGTCGGTTCGATTCCCCGTTACAGCCAGACCAAGTCGTTGAAAATGTGTTACACCTACGTCTCAGTTGCACCACCCAGGGCCCCGGTACCACTAAGATCGTCCTCTCGTAAAATCATAAACATCCAACATCGAATGGTCGGGAACCCTGTACTGGATGGACTCCAGAGAATCCAGCAAGTAGTGGCCATATGGTTGGGGATGTGTAGGTCTTGCCGAAGAAAGCATCCGTCGGTCATTAGAGATACTAAATGTACCCACTGTACCTACAAAATCTAAGAAAAAAAGTTTATTATGTAATCGCTGCTGTGCCGTATTCAGATCTCTCACCGAACTCCTTTTGAGATGTCCTTGGTCAACCAGCATTTAGATAACAGATATTGTTGTGGCAAGTTTTACCTCTACGCCAATCGCTAGATGCGCACTGGAGATATCTTCACTTGATGTGGTGGTATCTGTAGTACCATCTTCATCTATGTCGTCTTGTGCTACTATCGTAATAAGTTTATATCGTATCGGAAATGTAAAATAACTGTCAGATCTCGCGGTGGTGGTCATAAAAGATTATATAAACTTAGGTCACAGTAGCGTTATGCTACCACCTCTGTTTTAACCTCATAAATGAAATCATCTAGGTTATATGATCTCACATGCTTATATGATTCATCTGTACCATAAACTGATGTTTAGCTGCGCACCGGCAGCTATAAGCAATCTCCCGGTAAGAGTAAGATCAAGTACAAGCCCGTGTGGTGTAAATAATCTAAAGTATCCCCTCTTAGATCCCTCGCCAGACCGATTCAGTTTTGATCATTACCGTGAGATGGCCAACTGTGTAAAGAACTGAATCAAATCATTGCGTGTCCAGATACATGGAACTTGATACTGCCTACACTGGTACTAAAGGTCTAATAACGCGCTTGTCCCGACGTTCATTGGTCGCGTTTTGATGTCGTATCAGGATGGAGGAACATCAAAGGTAAGCTTTATATATTCGTGCCACATAAAGTGTATGCCCTGATGCATCGTCAAAGATGGTCATAACTTTACGCTAATGATCGCGCGTGTCTTCGGTGTTTATACGTAGCTACATCTAAAAAGACTTTCGTCATCCAAGCTAATCGATTCTATAAGTAGTAGAGCCTCATTTCTTGGCGATTTTCTTCTGAGATCATCGAAATTTTTCTAAGGATAGAGTATAGAACCTTGCGCTCGTCGAATTTAATTGTGTAGCTTGCATATGGATGATCACGCAAAGCTTTTCTCATCCTTGATACGTTTCGTTGAATCCGAGCAATGTGATTGTTTAGTGCAATATATAAAAGTTTCTTTTAATTAAAGTTGTGTATTTCTTCAAGCGAGGCCCCTCTCAAGCTTTCTCTAGTTTCTTCACGCCTTGCAGGTATCTATGTATCGTTTATATAGTCGGTCTAGGCTTAATCGCTTTTCTTCTTGAAGCGATCCTGGAAAACTCTGGTGTGAGCTTAAAAGGCAACAACATCCGGTCGTCCTGGACACCACTCAGCGTATTAAACCATTTCCTCGTCTAAAATTGCAACCCTGATTTATTCAGCATTACACAATTCAATTGACATTATGGATCAGATGGAGAGCTTCTAATTATTACTCAACGCAGACGAGCGGTCTCGTTCTCTTGCAACCTTGGGCTGGATATTATAACTAGTACTCATTATGGAGTATACACGATTTCCCGATATTTTTTATCGGACGGGCGCCTTCGGCGAATATAAAGAATATCACTTGCCGTACAACGGAGATGCAACATGGCTATAAATTACTTGACAATTTCAGATTGAACGAATGGCACAAAACACAGGAGGTGATGCTTGCAAACAAGTCAGCATCGCTAGCAGGTCAACCGAATGTTGGAAAAGGGGAGAACAGAAAGGGGTGTAGAAAGTGAGCCACGCTCTTGATTCGTAGCATACGTACAAAGTCCAAGAATCGAATCGATATATGGGTCAAATACAGGCTAAAACCCAGGAAGGCTTCATTAGTGAAGCTGTAAGGGAAGAATTGTGATCCGAAGATTCTATTGTGAGTGAGAGCTGAAGCAGACTGTTTATGTGTCTGATTTAATTTGTGAAAAGGGGACTTACGCAGGACTAATCGTGATGGAACGGTAGACTTTCTATATGCTTGCAGATGGATGGATCTAAGTGAAATACCTATTGCCGATCAATATTTTTCATCCCTGGTTGCCTTAGACGAAAGGAATCTTCAGCTTAAATTGGTCTCGTTGAAAAACCGTTAAATATGTTTGTTTTGTGTGTACAATAAGACAGGGAGGCAAGATCTGAATCTCTCCCCATGATACGAGTAACCTAGTTTATAGAATCGAACCGAGAAAACAATTGACAACATCATCATTCACTTAAGAATGAGTATGATGCTATTTATTGCTGTATTAACCCAGCACAAAATACTTGGCCAACGCGATCGTCTTTTGCTCATCGGCGTCCAGCATGTGCTTATGTGATCATATTCACTTTTGCTTAATTCGACCCAACAAAACAAGCGTGCACCACAATAGTGACCTACCCAAAAGTGACATTGAAAGTACACTCGCCCCTTTTTAAAGAGAGAACTTTGCGCCCAATTTTTATAGCGTGTCTTATAAAAGTGTCGAATAGAGAATACGAAAGATTAGGTTGTACGATTTTTATAACTAAAAAAATTGAGCATTGGGGCATTTAAGTCACGCAACATTTCCCAATGCGTAATAATTCGTACCGCTTGTTCACTATATGAACTCTTTGATATCGATCTGTTTTGCTCAAGCGTACCACTTCTTACGAATGCCTGATGAAGTCTTATCTATGATGGGCCACCCCGTTACATAAGTAGTTTCGATTAAGTTTACATGTTACTTAAGTAGGGGTGTTAGTAGCGAAAGTAGTACGTCGTTTATTTAGCTGGTTTAAGGGGCTCAGTACCATTATTAGCCAGTAAGAGATAGGCACGTAGATTAAGTGGTTCCCATTAGTTCAAGGGAACCATTCGTACTTAGGATGAATAAACGACAAAATATAAAACAGAGTTAAAAGTACTTAATACCTAAGACTTGGGCTTTGAGGCTTCCTCAAAGCGTAGAATAGTGTAAGCTAAGTACGGGCTGTTCTAGCCCCGTCACACCTGGTAGCAATTAGTAGTCCTTCCTATGCCCGAGTTTGGGATGGGAGACTCGTCGTACTTTGACGCTCCAGACGTGATTCTGGAGCACGCGCTCGAGAGTACGCCGACGTGTTCCTGGACAAAGTTTCGGCTGAACTCCCTGCCGATCGTGGCATGCGGCACGAAATTGATCTCGTGCCAGGATCGAAATATTGTGTGACACGCCAGTGGCCGTTGCCTCGAGACCAAGTCGAGGCTATTGATGCATTCTTTGAAGGTCGTCGCCAGGCTGGTCATGTGCGTGAGAGTGTCTCACCCCAATCGAGTCCAACCTTCTACGTGAAGAAGGCTACGGGAGGCTGGCGTATAGTGCATGCGTATAACAAGCTAAACGAGGCCACTATTCCTGCCCAAACGCCCATATTCAGAGAGGACATAGTTCTAAACTCCATGTCAGGTAGCGTCATCTTCAGCGCCATCCATCTGCCCGATGACTTCTACCCGATCTTGATGCAATAGAGTGACATACCACTCACTGCGGTGAGCACCCCGAGTGGTTTGCTATGGGAGTGGCTGGTGATGCCACAAGGATTGAAGAACGCACCAGCCACTTTCAATCGCATGGTATCTCAAGTGTTGAGACCGCTTCGAGACTTTGCTCCTAGCTACTTCGATGACATTTTTGTCCACAGTCGCGCTGAGGGCAACCTCAGTGCTGTCCAAGTTCATTCTCAACACCTGAAGCAGGTGTTATAAGTCATGCGGTATAACAAGTACTATGCAAACTTGAAGAAGTTTGTATTCTGTGCACTGGAGATCCGGTGCTGGGCTGCTATGTGAGTAAATCGGGAGTTCGATCCGATCCGGAGAAGGTGTCGTCAATCTGTTCTTGGCCCACACTTAAGAATCCTACGTAGCTGCGTCAATGGCTCGGTCTAGCGGATTACTTGCATCAGTACACAAAGGATTACGCCGGTTCTATACAGCCTCTGTCCTCACTTCTAAAGAAAGACGCCACGTGGTCGTGGCGTCCCGAACATCAAGCTGCCTTTGACGCAGTGAGATAAGCCTGGAGTCGGCGCCAGTGTTGATACTTCCTGACGACGCCAAGCCGTTTCACGTGGTGTGTGATGCAAGTGACGTTGCAATTGGTTGCGCTCTCATGCAGTTTGATCATGAGGGCCGTGAAAGAGTCGTGAGTTACCAATCACGAAAGATGAAGCCGGCGGAGAAGAAATATCCAGTCCACGGTAAGGAGCTATAAGCTATGCGCTACGTACCCATCAAGTTTCAGGTCCACCTACTAGGCGAACGCACGTTCGCCTGTATACTGGTCATGCATTGCTGCGAACAGCGATAAAGAGCACACACATGTCACAACGGATGGCACGGTCGCTCTCTTTCTTCTCCGAGTACAACTTCTTCGTGCACTACAAGCCAGGCAAGACTAACACTTTTGCTGACGCACTGTCACGACGTTCAGATTACGATCCTCGTATGGCACTGAGTCGACAGGCAACTCAAGACGACAATGAAGACGATCGATGTGCGACGTGTGTGCCGTTGAATCTAACTCGGGTCACACCCGAGTTATGCCTTAACGATGAAATTGTCGCGGCTTACGCGAACGATCCGGATTACGCGGACATTATTGCCTATCTGCGCGCTCCCAGTGATGCTGCACTGGGAGCTCTTTCGCGAACGAAGCGTGAACACATTCAACGATACAGTATAGATGGTGATTTGCTGCTATCCATCATCGATAAATCCGATGCACCTCGAACGGTGATTGCGAATGACTTGGATTTGCGTGCTCGTATCATCCACGAGTACCATGATGCCCCAATTGGAGGTCATCTGGACCGCGAAAAGACATTCGCGGCTGTCTCACTTGACTTCTTCTGGCCCCACATGTACAAGAGGGTTCACAACTGGGCTCGCACCTGCAAAATATGTCAGCGCGTGAATCCATCTCCATCGTCACAGGCACCCCTGCGACCCCTGACAATTGCAGCTGAGGCTTGGCGCTCATTTTAATAAACTTTATCTTCGGGCTTGCACCCGATGGCCAAGATCGAACGGGTATTCTAGTCTTTGTGGACAGATTCAGCAAAATGACACATCTGGTGCCTGTTCATGCAACGGTCACCGCGGCTGAGACCGCGGTGCACTTAATTGACACTGTGTTTCGCCATCACGGTCTACCAGACAGCATTGTCTCGAACCGTGATCCTCGTTTCACATCTGCTTTTTGGACGTCATTTTTCGAGTTCCTTGGCACAAAGCTGCAAATGTCGACAGCAGCCCATCCGGAAACGGTTGGGTAAACATAGAGGGTTAATTCGGTCCTCGAAAATGCTCTTCGAAGTTACGCAACTTCCTTTATGAGTTGGAGTGAATTTTTGCCACTCGCGGATTTTCACTTAACAACGCAGTTCACGCGTCAGCAGGGTTGACGTTATTTTCTTTTGCAAATCCCGCCCGTCAACCTCGTGTACCTACTCTTCTTGCCGTGGGTCAAACCACGGCAAGGCTCCACTCTGGAGGGGGTGACAGTGATAAACAACGATCGAGTGCAGCTCAAGGTATTCTGAGCGCGAATGTTGTCACCCGATCCAAGATGAAGCCTTTTTTTACACCACGTGACGTGACACCCGCTAGCTCAATGGGCTGCACAGATACTGATTGACCCTTCTTCGGGTATGCGAAGACCTCAAGCCAACTACGCGCCGATTAAATTGGAGCGACCAATTGATGACATGGCTGTGTCAGAGTTTATACTCTAACGTCAAGCCATCACGAGGTTTGTACGCAATACTCTTTGATCTGCAGTGGACAAACAGAAATCTAATGCAGATAAACGTGGCAGAAAGTATATGAGTACTCTTAAAAAGAATGGTCTTGTATTGTTATCTACTGAAGGCCTGCGAGATTTATCAGTAACAAATCTCGGCGCGAGCAAACTCGCGCCACGTTTCATCGGCCCATTCACAATACCTAAGGTGACCGGCAAAGCATACACGCTGGACATCCCTTTGTCACTGCGACTTCACCCGACGTTCAACGTCGGGCGGCTTAAGGAGTATCGTCCAGCTACGCTTCACGGCTGGCTCCGTCCTCGGAGACAAAGGCTCATAGGTCGACCTTCCCTCTCGCCCTGCTCGACGCGCCAGCGACATCGGACGCGGCTGCGTCCCAGTCTGCGCGTTTTTAAGAACCTGAAGTTAGGTTCCGCATCCGTTCAAGCAGATCGCCGTTCGATTGTCGAATTTCGCTCGCTGTTCTCTCAGCCCGCGCAGCTCGATCAAGGGCAGCTTCAGCTTCCAGATGGGCATCAACAGCCTTTTTCACCGCCGCATCTACATCGTCCTGGTTGCCCAGGACGCCAGCAGTACCATCGCGAGGGCCCACCACCGCTTGTGGACGCGGACGGTCAGAAGCGCTGGATCGTGGAGCGCTTGTTAGGTCACGAGGACCTTCGTCGCGAAAGAAATCGTCGCGACTCCATGAGCGCGCGGTTCCAACCGCGCGCAAGTAATGTGTACGTTGGCTCAGGTTTCCACCCTAACAGTATACGTGGGAGCCGCGCTCTTCGCTTCTTCGAAACGTTTTAGACAGTGTTCAAGCTTACGAGTCCGTGCATACGCTTGGTTCAGATTCGGTCGACGACCTGAGTGTTCTCGCGGTGAGCGAGAACGAGACGAACGACGACTGTGTCGTGGTGAAGCGTCACCAAGACTACGAGACCAAGAGCGATTGCGAGTACGTCGTAGTGAAACGTCACCGGGACGACGAGATGAAGAACGACGACGAGAACGTCGTGTTGAACGTGTATCGCCACGACCACGCGAACGAGAACATCGTGGCGAGCACGTGGCACCACGACCTCGAGAACGTGAGTGGTGTCGCCAGCGTGACGCGCCACAATTAACCGCGGTCTTGCGCTCCATCAAGCTGCGCTCATACCGTCCGATCCAGAGCTGTTCATATTCACTGAGTGGATACTCAGCGACGTGTCGTTGCCAATTTTCGCGAGTTGGACGAGACATTGAGTCACAAGAGTATCAAGATTCGTGCACGTGAACGTAGCAGAGTCGATCTACGTATCACGCGTTCTCGCATATCTTCTCACGCATTACACCGATTGAGTGATCGGCGTGGATATCTTCGCGGCTGGCAAGCCACTGCTGAAAGTTTTTTCCGTCTTCGAGCATCCGGTTCCACCGCCGAATGAATGCACACCAAGACCACTGGAGTGACTCGTACGAGATAAAACCAAGACTCTTCCCACGCAATCCACGGAAACGCCGGAAGCAATCCTGCATCGTCTCAAGTGAGTCCGGAGCTCGAGCTCCGGACAAGTCGTACAGCGCCCAAGGGATCAGGTGCTGATCAATCACGTGGTAAATCGAACTCCCGCTGACAGTGCGCGGGAGTGCTGTGGTGTTGGTGTTTGCGTCTTCAGTCATCGTTTGGCTTTTGCGTCCGTTGGGTCTTGTGGTTGAGCACCCACGGTTCGTTAGTGCTATCTTGAGAAGGGGGTGATGTAATGGGCCACCCCGTTACATAAGTAGTTTCGATTAAGTTTACATGTTACTTAAGTAGGGGTGTTAGTAGCGAAAGTAGTACGCCGTTTATTTAGCTGGTTTAATGGGCTCAGTACCATTATTAGCCAGTAAGAGATAGGCACGTAGATTGAGTGGTTCCCATGAGTCCAAGGGAACCATTCGTACTTAGGATGAATAAACGGCAAAATATAAAACAGAGTTAAAAGTACTTAATACCTAAGACTTGGGCTTTGAGGCTTCCTCAAAGCGTAGAATAGTGTAAGCTAAGTACGGGTTGTTCTAGCCCCGTTTCATTATCCGGACCTTACTGAACGATACGCGTGCCTCTATAGGAGCGCACGAAGTGAAACGCAAAAGCTATTGCACTTAAGTTATTTTTGCACTGAAAGGCGCTTAAGCTTCGTTGATTTTGACTTTCGCGGGCTCCGCTTCTGCATGTATAATCGATTTTTTTATCTTGAATCTGCTCGTAGTCGCCTATCATGACATAATACTTCACGCTAACCGTTTCCTGGGATTAAATTACATCATCATAATTGCAGAAGTCTAGTTGGAAGGCGAGGCTGGACTTTCGATAGGTATTTGTAAACGCTTGTATCGCCTGTGGCGCTTCGATGATCTCACTCGTGATCCAAAATTTAAGATGAATACCCGTTGATACTACTCATGCTCTCAGCTGCAAACTCAAAAGTTGTTACGGAATTAAGTCTACGTTCCATTTTTGCTTCGATCAGATTCATGCTCTTTCACATGCGAATTTCTTGTGGCAAGCAGTTAAGTATTAGATGATATTTATTGCCAAATTTGTAGCTGCGCATATATGAATTATAATAATAACTCGTAAATGTATCGAGAGGTTGGATGGTGGAAGTCATATTAGGCGGATCAACCACTTTAAAGTCGTAGATTTTATTCGTCTGACTTCGTGACTGAAAGCATTGCAAAGAAGCAGCAGTTCCTGCGGCTACGCATTTAAAAAATATTGGTGTAGCCATATATCGAAGATGATACTTTTATGCAGGCTTTTTATTTATAGCGCATGAGATGCCACCTTTTTTGGTCTCTATACCCACAGAGCACCTTATTTATAAATTTTCGATGCTCACGGGGTCCAGAAAATTAGAAACACTTGCGCTGCAGTAGATAGAAATGTCATCTGTACCTTCTAGCCATTGTTTCCAACCGCAGAGAATTTATTTTGATGGCAAGTCGTTAAATAATTGTGCGTCATCAAAGGTTAACACACCACTCCAACAAGTCACTTAATCAAAGATTTTATCCAACAATTTGCTGCTTGCACTTTCGTAGTACATAATCTCCTACTCTCACCGCTCAACGCACATCTTTGTTATTTCGCTAATAAATTCTGGATTTAGCCTTTGGAAATCGTACGATCATTATACGCAATATCGTGGCTCATTCGCATCCAGTCTACTTCTCAGGACCAGATCTTCGTATAATTCGTCACTATCACGCCGTGGATGAATAGCTACATCTCCTTCAATAATCCAGGGTAGCACCACGTCGTCTTTACTCATTTTAAGGTTGATTCCTCAATGTTCGTTTTTTTATGGCCATGAACCGATGCACCATCAATTCACCTATGCTTTGATCGAGCTGAATTTTCAAATACGCCTGCACGTCATTAACGCATCATTAAACGTTCTTTGCAGTGTTGAAAGCCTTTTTACTTCTGCTCTAGTGAGAGTTAAACTCGCCAAGTCGTCTTATTGGTTGACAGTCTTGATATCAACAGGATGGAATACTTCCTAAGTGGTAGTGAAAGTGTTGGATTAATGGCGTTGTGGTGTAGTTACTGAAATTAAAAAATTACTTCTTTCGATACATATTGAATCGCAAAATTATTTATGCTTTTGTCTGCTGTTTTCTCGTAATGAATTCTTCAGCAAATAATGCGTCATAAGCCCGCATATTATGGTATGCTTATCGTCTTTCACTTAGGTCTGTCCGAGGTCTTATGAAGTTGCTGAATCAGCTTAAGATTCTAGAAATCTTTAGCTAGTTTAGCAATTTTTTAAATTACACATCATATGCCACGTATCTCTTTATAGGAGCAGAAGTAGTGGTAGTGAGTCACAATTGGGCCAGTGTTTTTCGTGTCTTGTATCTAACATGTAACGGGTTAGCCCGTCATATGATATCTACAGCAAACGGTATCATTTGGGAGATTTTCTAGCGTGACAACTCCCTGCCAATATTATCTGATATGGATAATATTCATGCGCTGCTCAAAGATTGGTTGATAAAAGACATGTCAACCATTGAATACCACCAATCGCTGCTAAACGCGCACAATGAGTGGTGAGCAGCTTGTCGTCATACGACAATGAAGATTCATCTAGCTAGATAAAGATTAAAGTTACATTGAGAGCTTAACTAAACTAAATACAGTTCTCTTTTTACTCTTTACTTAACATAGCTGTTGAGTAGATTAGCTTCCTCTGCACGTACTAGTGTACGTGAAGTTTCGCGGCACCCCAAACAAAGGGTGCCCCGTTACACCTAATAGCACTTCGTAGTCCGTCCAACGACTACTTAGTGTCCGTTCAACATGAACATGTTGGACGTAGAAGACGACAGCTTTCATGTCACACGTGAAGGCTACTCCCATCTGAGTGACTCAGAATGGGAGGTAGTCGCCGCATGCGTGTGCTCATGGGCGAGCCCGCCATCAGTGGCATGTTGGTTTCTCTAAGCAGAGACCAGCAACATGCTGCTATCAACAATTTCTTACAAGAGGAAATTGCCGTCATAAGACAGAAGATAGCCTTGCTTCACCAGCAAAGCTCTCATCAGTCGATGGGCGGACCGACGCAAATGCGTCGACACGAAACCTTGAAGATAAATATCTCGAGGTACAAGGGAACCGATGAAGATTTCCTTTTGAGATGGTTCGTCGAGTTAGACGATGCCATCAGGGCCCGTAACATCGAGGGTGGCGAGATGCAAGTCACCTTCGCCCTGTCACTTTTGACAGGACGAGCAAAGACTTGGGCCTTAGAGCTCAAGCTTCACGATCCAAACATGTATGAGCCGTTAGGAACCCTAAAGTCTAGGCTCAAAGAAACGTTTGAGCCGCCAAGATCCGAGCTCATAGCACGCTCTGCACTCTTGAGGCCAAAGCAAGGTAAGCGTGACGTGTACGCTTATGCACAGCACCTACGCTACCTGCGAGTAGCATCACGGAAAACCCTGATGATGAGCACACGCTCATCAACGTGTTCATCTACGGCCTTGTGGATGGGCCGGTGAAGACCTACATGTTCCGAGAGGACTTCCATACGCTGGAAAGGGCGATAGCGTATGCGGAACAAGAATACTTCAGCCTGAGACAGTCTCAGGCTAACTCGTCAAACTATCGTCCAACGAGACGACAGGAAACAGGAGATACCGAACCAATAGACCTCTGTTACATCGAGAGCGATAACTCTCGCTCTCTGAGTCACAAAGCGAACGGCAAGATGCCATCGCTGTCTCAAGATTGGGCACTACGCTCATCAGTGTAGTGTCCCGAGCACCGCATTACTTTTAAAGACAGGACGTGATGACCGCCGTTGGCCGGTGGAAGGTCCAAGGCTCGGGTCCAATGTCGCTAAACCGCAACAGCAAGTCGGACCGTCAAAAAACGGTCAGGGTCAGTAGGGGCGGAGCGCCCTGCTGATCCAGCAACGTCAAGAGAATTTGCAGGACTCTTGACGAAGATTGCTCCCAACACACAGTCGCTGATTGATACTACCCTTAGTGATGTGTCTCTCATCACTTTGAAGATCGAATTGACAAGTGGAATGTCACTTCGTGCCCTGGTTGACTATGGGGCGTCAAACAGTTTTATTCGACGCCAGTCGCTAAGGGATAGTAGGCTTAACTACGTTGAGCGAGAGTTCCATCCAACGAGGATGAAGGTGCGCCTTGCATCAGGCGCATTCGTAACAGTGAGGAATCATGTAGTGGGAACCCAGTGAGGAATCGTGTAGTGAGAACCCACTACACTCTAGAAGGAAAGCAGTACGATGATGACTTCATCGTACTGGATTTAGATGACAAATTTGATGTCATCCTGGGTCTGCCATGGATAGAAGATACGAGCCATGGATCAGCTGGCAGCATTGATCATTGAAGATACCTGCCGTTTGTTCATTAGATGTCCATCTGATGAACGTCTTGGATCGTCCACAAGCGTGTGGATGTACTACGAGTGAGTGCGATGGCCTCACTTGTGGTACGGTCTTTAGTATGACCGTAGGAGGCCACTACACTGTGAAATCACTTTTCGGCATCTGTGTAGAGACACAGGCTGCACCGAAGGTTCGCCACTCGAAAAGATCGAGTGGACTGGAACATGGATGCACAACAGTCAGGGTGCATCCAAGAAGATGGAACAGTGCTGTTCAGGATGAGCAACACGTTACCGCGAGATCGACTAACAGAGGATCGATCGCAAAGCAAACACGATCGACTGAAAGAGATTCAATTAAAGAGGACATGATTGTGGTAGTGCACCCACAGTCATAACACGCATTGGAAGAACGGTCCAGCGTTCCTGAGAGTGATAACTCTTGAGAGAGTTATGTTGAGGGTGTGGATCCCAAACCACCTGCGGATGTGTTTTCCCAGAAAAACACTGAGATAGTGAATGTCTTGGTAAATGACGGATCAAGTGTAGGCGCTTATACACTTGATCCAGTTACACCTCCGAAGTCAGCTTCGGAGGTAGTCAAGTTGCCAACTCCAGAATCTAAAAGATTCTTGCGAGATCTGCGTAGTAACAAGATCAAGCAGATCTGCGTACAAGTCACAGAGGACGAGTACGTCACCAATATTCGGTCGGCACAAGTGTTTACTGAGAACGAACTGGTCTTCAGTAGCTCATCGATGGACGAAAGTGTCCTCGATGCGAAGACCTGGATTGAGCGATACACGTCTCAATCTTAAAATTCTTTGAAGACAAATCCTTCGTCTAAAGATTGTTTTGTTTAAATTCAGGGACGTTTTCCCGTAATCCGTGCCATGCGAGCTGCCCAAGGACAAAGACATTCGGCATGAAATCGAACTGAAACCGATTCGAAATACTGTGTCATGAAGCAGTGGCCACTGTCTCGTGAACAGGTCACAGCGATCGACAAATTCTTTGCCGATCGATTAGCGGTTGGTCATGTGATGGAATCAACATCCCAACACATCTCTCCGAACTTCTCTGTGAGAAAATCCAAAGGGGGTGGCGGATAGTGCACGCGTTCAACAAACTGAACGCTGCAACGGTATCGGATGAGACGCCGGTACCGAGGAAGGACGTCATCATTGATGGTATGGCAAAAAGTACCATATACTTACGTTTGTAGATGTGATGGATGGATTCTATCAGATCTTCATGCGTGAACGGGACGTCCTGTACACAGCCGTAAGCACCCCTAGTGGTATGCTCTAGGAGTGGCTAGTAATGCCACAGAGGATAAGTAACGCCCCTGCAACGTTTAACATAGTGTTACGAATCTGTTGCGATCGGTGCGAAATTTCGCACCGAGTTACTTTGACGATATCTTCGTCCATAGCCAGGCTATGGATGGAAAGACGGACGTGGAGGTTCATAAAAAATCCACTTCCGGAAGGTTCTTACACCTATGCAAGAGCATAAGCTGTTCGTGAACATCAAGAAGTGTACATTCGCAGCGAGCAAAATTGTACTTCTTGGCTGCATCGTGGGTTAATACGGGGTACGCCCTGATCTAGAAAAGACCAAGGCGATTAGCGACTGGCCCGTGCCAGTTGACGTCAAGGGACTTCGAAATTTCCTTAGCTTAGCGGCGTTCTTGAACAAGTACTCGCGCAACTACATCGAGATGAACGTAAATCTCTCTCGTCTGATAAAGAAAAACGAGAGGTGGTCACAAAGTGCTGAGTTTCAGCACCTTTTCGAAGGTATCAAGAAAAGCTTGATACAATCGCCTGTGTTGGCGATTGCAAACCAGGACATACCATTCCATGTGGTCCGTGACGCCAGCGATTTTTCAATCGGCTGCGCCATAATTCAGTACGACTCAGACAGCGTTGAGCGCGTCGTCTGTTACCAATCGCGTCAGCTCCAAGCAGATGAGAGTAATTTCCCAGTGCGCGAAAAGGAACTCCTTGCCATGAAATATGCACTGGCTAAGTTTCGGGTATATCTCTTAGGAGATAGGCCCTTCGTCGTTTATACCGACCATGCGTCGTTACGCACGGCCGTAAGTAGCCCACACCTCTCGCAACGAAGGGCGAGGTGGCTGTCTTTCTTCGCGGAGTACAACTTCCCCGTCGAGTATAAACCAGGACGACTTAATGTCGTCGCTGAAGCTCTTTCGCGTCGGCCCGATTTCGAGCCGATTGCTCAATACAAGAGTAGGGGTGATCCCACTGTTGCGACACCATCATTGAGTGTTCCGTCGTCGAGTCTTCTTGACGACGTGCGGAAAGCATACGCAGAAGATAAGTCTCTTCTGCGATTATTGGATAATGTGTCTAATATGTGCAGTCAAGCTTTAAAAAAGCTTGACATCTTAATACATATCTTCAACCGAACGGTATTCGGTTCGTGATGGACTGGTGTACTTTACAGCAGTCAACGACGACGCACCTCGTGTCGTCGTTCCTGCCCATGATAATTTGCGATTGCGCATCATGTATGAGTGTCACAATGCCCCAACAAGTGGGCATCGCGGTAGAGAAACCTCAGCTGCCACACCTTCAGCGGTCTTGACGCGCTGAATGCCTTCGCTCGCTGCTTGTGCGTCACCATACCTCACTTCTAACCCTTGATAAACTCGCAGTGTTGTTTGCAGCAGTAAGCGACTCCCCCGTCTTCTCGTACGAAATCGCGTCTGAATTCGTACGAGAAGACGGGAAAGGCGCTTACGAGATCAGCCCCGTTAATTCTTAATCAAAAACATGCTGTAACTGAGCATCTGCTGCTTTAAATTCAGAGGAAGACTCATTAGTTAAGCTAGAGGCTTACGGCAAACAGCCAATTAGTTCTAACTCTAGCTAATATATCAAGTTAAAGAGTCGGCTAGTTCTACGGAACTTAGCGCGGACTCTATGAGCTATTAGCTCAGACTACTGTAGTTCTAAGGAACTACACGCACAGTGTGCAAAAGGGAAATACAGGAGTCTAAAGACTCTCTAACCCACGACAGTTCTAAGGAACTGTCAAACGCAAGGTGCGAAAGGGGGAAGTTTACGGACTTCTGCTCAAAATGAGAACTGAGTTTATTTAGCTTTTATATCAAGAAAAATCCTACTTTAAGAACCCTATATTGGACTGAACTAGAGCAATACAAATATCAGTATACGAACTAAACGGATGGTTGGCACATCACTCAGTCTTTAAATGATGACGGTACGAAGTACTTCCACGGTAAGTACCGTAACTCAGAGAATACCGACTGATCGATATTCTCTATTGATGTAAGATCTGAGGCCACACCTGTCTCCCATATTACATATGGGAGGTCTTCAACCGATTTAGCCAATGGCTCGTGTGACCCCGTTACACATACTGCAAATCGGGCGTTGAGATAGCTACCATTTCGATCGTTGTAATTTAAACATATTTCTTTCATAAAATACTTTGTGTCACATCTTGCAAATTTTCATTTTTGTGTAACATCTTACAAAAAAGCCTCAAATTTTCTCGCATAATTTCTCGCGACAACAATCCAAGTCACGTTCTGACCAAATGTTTAATGCGTGTCACAATTTAGTATACTCCTTAAGTTTACAAACATCCAGACTAGGGTCGACTACAGTCTGAAGTTCTGCGACCACGTCTTCCCTTTGCTAAGTACAGCACTACTATGCGCTTGTTTCGAAGTCCGGTTCTCGCGATATTGCCATCAACAAAACTCACCATAACATTGCCCACGTTACCATGCTTATGCAAGATCGAACGCAACGACCGGCGGCCTTAGACTATCTGTTGGTGCAACTTTACAGAACATCGAGGCGTGAAGTACATGGTAAATGAAGCAGGTGAACGACGAGGACGAGTCCCAGCATACGTAGCACACACTAGAGCAAGCTGGTAATTGTCCTAATCTGCTCTCTGCACAATACCAATACAAGCAAGATAAAGAGTCAGCAGCAGAAGCGTCAGTTCAGCCCACGAGACAAAGCCAGAATCTGCTTGTACGACATAGAGTCGCATCTATACCCGAGTGCGTCCAGATCCTTTATCGCCGTTTCTACTTCTTTCCGCCGTTTTATCCAGAATGCGGGTCTCCTAGCTGCTTCGTCAAGTCACAACAAGTGTCTACGAGTCAGAGACGCAGCTACACCAGCACGACACTGTAAAGTTCCAGAACTCACCCGAGTCTACAGCTAGCTCCTGCTCATCAGGGTCCCTTCGGTCTTTAAGTTTCGATAACCCATGCGTGCGACTCAACAGCTGTGACACTTTCGTCGGAGCTGGCAGCTGACTGCCCTTCACAGGCAATGCCGCATCGCGATGGACAGGCTTTGTTCCGCATGTCGTCATCTCATCCGAGTCCCGTGAGACGGACCTCGTTCGTTTTCGAGCGTCACGTAGCGTCCGCACACTATTTTCACACCGCATTCGTGTCAGCAGTCGACCCCCGCTGGTCCTCGGTCTCTTTAATTTGCTCTTCCCAGTATCAGGAAGCCGCGAACCGAACGCGAACTTGGCTCGACCATTTGATGTGGCGGCAATCGATAGTGGGCACCCAACGCGTTGTCTGGACAAGAACCGACAAAGCAATAGCAACATTAGTATGAGTTTACTCGAGTAATCGCCGCATTAGTGACACTATTGTCGCCTACTTCTTGTGGGGCCGTGCCACTGCTGGGTCCTCCGTAGCCATTAGTTTCGTTATGAACTGCAGCGTTTCAACAAAATCTAATATCCTATCATAAAGCATAATAATCACGCGGGGATATGCCAGTCACCGGTTGTACTAGGCTAAGCCAGCTCGCGAGGTACACAGGTACGTCGACTGGTGACCAAGTCGCTAAGACAGAATCAGAATTCACTTGAGCGAGCAGTAGTCGCATCGCTGCTGCAGTTTCACATGGGTGCAAAAACGAGAATGGTTTGCCCAGCACCGGGTGCTCTTCCATCGCAATAAACGTTGATCGACAGCTGGAGCCAGAAAACTCCATGTCGCCAGTGATCACACTGGCGCGCAACGGTGTCCCATCCACTGCAAATACACGGAAGTACAGCACAGGCGTCTGGTAGATGGTGTGGTAGACGATGTGGAGCTCGAGAAGGGCTGTCTCGTCTTGCTGGCACTGCATCGTCGTCTGCATCTCCTCGTCATCCGCACAAATGTCCTGAATGCACAACCTATCATGAGTGCTGGAACCAACAGCGTCATGTTGAAGTATACGACGCACGAGATCGAGCTCACCTCCTCAATCAGCTGCTCCAGCTCCTTCACATCGTCACCAAAGTGTTCAGTACTCACCTCACTCTTCCCATCAGTTATTGATAGATACGATCGAGCGTTTTCACTTGACACAAGGTACGAATTCCCCTCCAAGTGCTTCCGCAGTGACATCCATAACAACATCTCAGCGTCAGGCCCCATCACCAAACCTTACAGCACCTTCCACGCCTTGCAGCAACTCACCGGTCGCTCACCCTGTCTCCACTCCCACGTCGCGACACCCGTCTCAAATCCCACATTTTGTCCAATCGCCAACTCCCGTGACCTCCTCCGCAGCAGCTCGCCCTCGACACAAAACGTCTCATAGCTGAGACAACCGTCGCGCATGCTGTTGTTATAATTCCGTCAGTCAAGGCCAGTTAGCCTCTTTGCACAATATCGTGTCAGCCACACATCATTCGTGTCAGCCACATCACATTGTGTGCTCACACACAACAAACCTCAGCAATTGACCCGGTCACATGTTCTTCTTCATCTCGCACCAAATGAACTCGTCGGCGCTCCTCGCGTGGCTCTTGTACGCGAGTGTCGCGCTCCTCCTGCTCTTCCTCAGCACGTCATTCGTGCTCTACATGCAGCCAAAGAAGCACGGTGCATCGTCTTCCCTTCCCAGGTCCACGTCCCCGCTCTTCGTCCCCTCGCGCTTGGTCAATAGCGTCGCCATCCTCGCGCTCTACGCGTCGCTCCTCTGCCTCTTCACCGCCCCAATTGACGTGTATCTGTTGGAGAACGCGCTGCCTCATGTTCCAGCGAACGCCCGCGCGCTGCGAGTGCTGTACCAAGTCTATTTCGCCTTCTTGGCCTTGTACTCCTTCTGGATCGCCCCGCTCGCCTTTAATTACGCCAAACAGACAGAGATTGCGCACCTGACGCTGCGCTTTTCTAGTCGGGAGCGGCTCTTTGCGGCTCTGAAACGCACCCTGTGCTTCTTGCTCGGTCTGTCGCTTCTTTTGCTGGTGGTCATGGTCGTGCTGCTCTGTGGCAAGCCAGCGAGCTCCGATATCGAGTGGCTGCGACCGTTGCTCCGGTTTTCCTCGGATCTGGAGACGTTTCTACGACTGCTTGTGGGCACTCTGGCACTCTCAGGCATGTACTTGTGGCTGTTTGTGTGCAGTCGTGGACTCGCGAGTGTGCCGCTCGTAGGGCTCCTCATGGAAGACCACAGTATTGACGAGAACATGACGACGTTTGACGCGCTTTTGCGGGAAAATGCTTTGGAATCACGGGCTACTGAGCAGACGAGAGAGACGATTCTGCAGCGCTATGCTGTCGAACAGCAAATGAGTGGCGCTGATCAGGAACGACTGTCGCAATTGAAGACGCGCGCACAGCTCCTTGAAGAACGTCGAGCCGTGCTGCGTGACAACCTGCAGCGATTTGCACTGACGGGAAAATTGATGTGCTGGAAGATTCCGATTGGTGTCGTTTTGATGACATTGTCGCTGCTGATTGTCGTTTCGATGCTCAGCACGAGCGTTGACAAGATGGTGCATTCGAGTTTTGCACGTGGTTTTCTCTTGAACGCACCAGAGTTTCCGAACCCGGTAGATCTACTGTTGGTGATCGCTTCGCGCGTATTCCCGTTGGACTACGTAGTCTTTGCAGTGCTGTTCGTGTACTTGTTTACGATTTCGTTGGTGGTGCTCAAGCGCCACGGCTTGCAGTTTCTGTGTTTCCGGCTTGGACGATTGCAGCCGCGACTGACGTCTGCAGCTACGATGACTATTTTATCGCTTGTGCTCATGCAGCTTGCCATGGTGGGACTTTTTGCGCTGCTCACATTGGCGCCGCAGCACGCTACCTTTGGTCACCAAATGTTTGTTGATGCGTCGGGACGCGTTATTCCTTGCACTCTCGAAGAGGCAGCCAGTGCTGCTGCTGCAGCCAAGTCGGGAGGTCTGCCCGATCATTGCCGCATGACGCAGCTAGCGCGATTCTACAACGCTCTAGCAGTTGAGCTGCCCATGTTTGGCACGGCCTTTTTTGTAGGCCAGCTTTTGTTTGCCACAGCGTTTGTGCCGTGGGTCGCACATGCCTATTGCATGGCAAAGAAGCTCGACGACCCTCTCGATTCTAATCGCCAGCGACTGCTAGACGACTATTAATTATGTTTCGCTTCGGGCGAAGCGGTACTACAAGGGAATTTGAAGCGATGAAGCCGAGCCAGTCTCATGTACTAAATCCTAACCTATGTCTTCCATTCCGCTTCGTGGGGTTTAACGTACTCTTACCTTCATTTTTCTTTATCGAAATGGGGATTCCAACTGAAGACATCGCTCCAGCTTACTTACACCGCACCTATGTCGCATTCGTAGAAGTGTCCATCGAGCCTGTGCGCTCCTTACCTGCAAAGAAGCGGTTCTGGAAGCCACCAAATATATTGCGGATACCGCCAGCGGGACTCGCAGCCTCATTCAGCGGTCCTCCCTTCTGTCCATTCTGCGACGTGTTTGAACCCCTTGCTTCGTCAAACACGCCGGCCGCATGGTTTGGGTCACAACCAGCCAGAAACGCCTCGTACGACTGCTCACGGTCCTGCAGCAGCTCTTCCGTGCGCATCTGCTTGGCTTCCACCCGTGCGCAAACTTTTTCAAACGCCGTCTTGGCAGCCACGTACTCCCGCTGCAGTGCGTCCAGATCATGCTTGATCCCCACAAGTTCACGCTCCGTCTGCTGAATCGTACGCAGCGCTGGCGACTGCTCGTCAATCTTCAAACACTTGATCGAGTACTTGACGGCCGACAGCCAGTTGTCCCCATAGACGCAAAACAAGTGCTCGCCCTTTTCCAGCGGCACCGTGCGTCGCACTTCAAACATCGTCAATTTGCTGAAAATCTCCGGCAGTTCCGAGTCGGTCGTAGCTCCTGGCCACAGTTCCGGGTTCAAGTCCATGAGCTCGACGTTGCTCGACAAGTACATGTCAGCAGCCGTGCACCGCGACTTCTTGCTCGACTCCTGCACCATCCGCACGGCGCCGTGCTGGTCAAAAAGCACGAGCTTAAACTTGCTCTTGCTCGCCGAGCGACACATGAAAACGACCGACTCGCGGTCCTTGTCCACGTGGAGCTTGTAAAAGTGCGCGTCCTGCTTGTCCACTTTCGCATGGCGTTCCATGCCAAAGACCATCTGCGTGACCGACGGCAACTGCGTCGAGTTGTTGCGCGCGTCACAGAGATCCCTGGCCCCCGACAGGACCGTCTGCGAGATCTGCGTGGGGATGGGCATGCCGATCTTCGTGAACAGCGCGCCCACGACGCGCCCAAAGCCGCCCATGGCTTCCACGTCCACGCTCTCAAACGCCATGTCCTTGCCGCCCTCGCCCGCCACGTCGTACTGCCGACGCTTGTTCGGGTCACTGAGCACGGCGTAAGCAGCGCTGGCCTGCTTGAACTTGTCTGCAGCTTCGATCGAGCCGGCGTTGCGGTCGGGGTGGTACTTGAGCGCCAGCTTCCGGTACGCCGTCTTGATCTCCAGCTCGCTCGCCATCTTCTCGACGCCCAGGATCTCGTACAGGTTGACGCGCTCTTCGTCCGGCTGCTTGGGCACGGGCTCGCTCATGGCTGCGTACGGACGTGCACGCGCAAAGACGGGCCGACGACGGACTTGGAGTGCAGGCTCCGCTCGGCCTTGAACTGCTGGAGGAGGAGGAGGAGGAAAGAACGAGATGTGGGGAAGAACAGGTGGCCGGAGCGCGGGTGGACGCGCTTAAGTGCGATCGCAGACCCGCGAAGTTGGGTCGACATGTCGCGGACTTGGCGTTTGGAGCTCTTCGACTAAGTGCGGCGGAGGTTCAACAGGTCAGATTACTGCTGGATTGCAGACTTGATCCGGCAGCTGCGGTCTGTTTGGAACAAATCGACGCCTCATTACGACGATCAGGCGGTTGACCTGTGCTAGACTGTTGTTTTTTCACGCTTTCTTGTCATGCTTTAGATGGTAGTTTGCCGAATCAACAGGTCCTATCGCTAACGACGCCGAGGTCGAACTTACGCACTGAGACGCAAATAAAACAAAAAGACACGTGGTCTGCTGCTTCGTCATTTTCTTCTTCTCTTTACTGCGTTCACTCACCTGCCCTGCTGTCAGTCGTTTCTCTCCGTCACCTCCTTTCACTCTCGTCGACCGCCTCCTGCCCCCATTCCCCCGCCGCAACGGCTCTTGTCACTTGGTTTTACACTTGGTTGTGGACCGACACACCACCATCTCGCACTTGTTCGCCATTCCTTCCCAAAGCTCTACCGCCGCACTCAACAGCCCAGTGACGCTCGTTCGCTGCTAGCAACGGAGAACGGGTACCAACGAGGACTCCTCCTAAATAAGATCCGCCACGTTCATCGGCATCTCGTCGATCTGCGTGTTGTAGAACTGCTCAATGTCGCGCAAGTATCGCACATCGTTGTGCGTCAAAAAGTTGATGGCCACACCCTTGCGACCGAATCGACCCGAGCGACCGATGCGGTGAATGTAGTTCTCGCGGTTCGTGGGCAGGTCGTAGTTGATGACCAGCGACACCTGCTGCACATCGATACCACGGGCCAGGAGATCCGTCGTGATCAGCACACGCGAAGAGCCCGAGCGGAACTCCCGCATAATAATGTCACGCTCACGCTGCTCCATGTCACCGTGCATGGCCGACACGGTGAAATCTTTCGACTGCATCTTCTCCGTGAGCCAGTCGACTTTTCGGCGCGTGTTGCAGTAGATGATGGCCTGTGTGATGGTGAGCGTCTCGTACAGATCGCACAGCGTGTCGAATTTCCACTCCTCGCGGTCAATAGCAATGAAGAACTGCTTGATACCTTCAAGCGTCAGCTCGTCGCGCTTCACGAGGATGCGAATGGGTTCGCGCATGAAGCGGTGCGTCACCTCCAGCACGTCCAGAGGCATCGTGGCCGAAAACAGCGCCACTTGCACCTTTTCAGGCAGGAAACGAAACACCTCGTAAATCTGGTCCTTGAACCCACGAGAGAGCATCTCATCAGCCTCATCCAGCACGAACATCTTGACCTCGTCAGTGCGCAAGGCACGACGGTTGATCATGTCGCCCACACGGCCCGGAGTGCCCACCACAATGTGCACGCCTTGCTGCAGAGTGCGAATGTCGTCCCGCACAGCCGTACCACCGACACAGGCGTGCACCTGCACAGTCATGTAGTCGCCAAGAGCAACCACGACCTTGACAATCTGCTGGGCCAATTCCCGCGTCGGTGCAAGGATCAAAGCCTGCGTCTCCTTGAGACTAATGTTGATCTTCTGCAGGATGGACACGGCAAAAGTAGCGGTTTTACCCGTACCAGACTGAGCCTGAGCAATACAGTCGTGGCCCAAGAGAATAGGCTTCACGGCACGCTGCTGAATAGCAGACGGCTTCTCGAAACCGTAGGCGTAGATCCCACGCAGCAGATCCTCGCGCAGCTCCATACCGTCAAAGGTCTCAATGACCTCATCCCAGTTCGTCTCGATGTCGCCTTCTTCAAGCTGCACCTGCTCGTCCGGGGCGCCTTCCTCGACATTTTCACTATGGTAATAGAAAGTCGCACCAAACAGTTAATCGAGCTTTTCGTCAAAAAAACACAGCAGGATACGATAAAGTGGGTTTTTTAGACTGTGTTTAACACACGTACGTTGGCTTGCGGTCTTCGACGTCAGCCATGGTGGGACTAAAGAGTTGGTTGTCTTTTAGAAGTGGTAGTAGTAACCTACGACGACGCGCAGATACAGTAGGGAGAAGGAGGAAAAAGCTAGCGGGGCAAACGAGTGCCGCGGTCGTCTTCTTCTGTGTGCGAGTTGTTCAGTTTTGGATCCGTGGCGGAGGAGGAGGGATTCAGCGAGGACCGCTGCTGACTTGATCTTTGTATGGCTAGCCAAGTGAATGGCCAGCAGACTGTCCCACTCGTGCTTACTTCCCGGTAGTCAACGGGATGCTGTCCGAAGTAACGCTTTTGACAAATCCAGGACCCTTCGGTCCGCCGCCTCCGCAGCTGCTACAACTCTAGCTTGTCCTATACTTTCCACCAACAACCAAAACATTCACTCTCGTTCCAGCATGGCCAACGACGTCAGCCGCCTCCGCGCGCTGCTGACGCAGAGTCTGCGCGCGCCTGAACCGCAGCGCTCAGCGGCCGAAAAAGAATTGCAGCAGCTACAACGCTGCGCCATCACCGCTCCCTTTCTCGCTGCATTGCTGGAGATGTGCGTGGCCCTGCCAGACGCCGACAATACGCCGCGCAATCTCCAGCAGTTGGCTACCGAAGATCCAGACGTGCGTCTTTTTGCTGTTTTGTGGCTCAAACACTATCTAAAAGCGCAGTGGAAGACGCGTAAAGCCACGAGCTCGACGACGAACTTGCTTTCGGACCAAGAGCGCGACCACGTGCGGCACGTGTTGCTGTTTGCGGCGCTGTACGAGCCCCAGCCGACGATTGCGCTGCATCTGTCGCTCCTGGTTGCTGCGCTCGTTCGTACCGAGTACCCGAGTCACTGGACGTTCAAGAGGCTGTTTCCAGTCATGCTGCTGCCTCTGAGACGGCAGAATGGACCAATGAACGTCTCGAGAGAGAGTCGAGGACTTGCCGTGTGTTACTGCGTCGTGAAGGAGCTGGCGACGCGGAGGCTCGTGCAGCATCGCAAACACTTTGCACATCTCAGTGTCGAGCTCTTGCCGCTGCTGTTGCAGTATTGGATGGCTACGGCAACGCAGCTGAATGAAAGTCTGGTGCGGAGTCAACACGAGGCGGCGAGCTTGATGGGTAGGCAAAAAGCAGCCACAATTATGGCAGTGCTGACGGCGGGAGCGGAGCAGCTGAGTGCGCTGGTAACGACTACGAAGCTTGTGTCGACGATGCTGCTGAATGCGTTTCGGGACCTGATCGTGCTGCAACATGGAGAGCTTATGCGGTCAGCGCTTGTCGAGTTCCACAATCAGCTTGAGAGATTGGTGACGTTTCGAGAAGCATGTGGTGCTCTTGAATGTGAGGCAGGTGGTGCTGAGATGGGATCGGAAGCTGGTGGAATGATGCTGACGATCGACAAGTGCATGTACCGCATTGCGGCTACCATCGTGGGCGTGCAGAACTCGTATCCGATCGAGTTTCGCGAATATTTGTCTCCATTCCTCGGACTCTTTTGGAAAATCGTAACTGCGTTTGCTTCTGTACCTACAATAGCGGTTCGGTCGCCTCGAAAGCTGCAGATTGTCGCACTCCAGTTCTTTGCCAACGTACTGAGCTGCCGACTGTATAAGAAGGAAACTTTGACTGGATCTGAGTGTACGACGCGAATAGTGAAGGTCATTACATCCAGTGGGGATGTGATGATGACGGACTTCATGGTTATGGAAGCGCAAGCAGCCGTGCGCGCTTTTTTTACTCAGAATGAGGACCGTTTTGCATCAATGATGAACCTCGTAGTGATGCGTTACATGACGCTGACCACGAAGGACTTGGATGAGTGGCAAAGCGACCCAGAAGCGTATTGTACTTTCATCGAAAGCTTGACGGCAAAGGAGTCGGTGCGGGCATGTGCTGAAAATGTATTCTTGACGCTGGTGCAGAATTTTTCAGATCAGGCAGTTCCGTGTTTGACTCAGATGACCTCGAGTGCCTCGGCATACCTGGTGAAACTCGGTCAAGGTGAGATTTCTACTGTTCGAGACGATCAACGCATTCTTGACATGGACGCCGTGCTTCTCGCCATTGGTTTAGGTTGCTACGACCTACATGACTGCTTTGAGTTTGAACCGTGGTTCATAACCAACCTTGTACCGATTCTCGTAAACCCTGATGGTGCCGTCGGATCGTACCAAGGGCAACCCGTTTTGCGCTTCCGCATTGTATGGCTCGTCAGTTGTTGGTTAGCGCAGCTTTCCGCAAATGTGCGACCGCCGCTTTACGATGCGTTGCTTAACACGCCGGCATTCTTTCAGCAGACGGATGCCGACCTTGCTCTTCAGCTGCGTATCGTTCAGACCCTGGAGTCGATGATGGGCGACTGGGGCTTCGAACACGATGCATTTTCTCCATTCTTGCCTCAGGCGTTAAAGTGCCTATTTGCTATATTTTCGCAGGCTGATGAGCCTGAAAGCAAGATAAAAGTGCTGAGTTGTCTGGAGGCGATAGTTCAAGCGTGTGGTGAGAACATTGTCAGCTTTTGCCACCAGATCAGTGCTCCCCTACCTGCACTTTGGGCTAACGAAAGTGACGCTAGTAACTTGGTCCGCCAAAAAATCCTCCAACTGATGACGAAGCTCCTTATAATTGTAAAGGAAGCGCATAGGAATCCTTTAGGCAAACGCGTGGAGTACGATAGCATGGAGACACTCTTGAACATGTGCGTGCAGGTCATTTGGTTTGCGACAGACGTATCAAACCCTGATGAGGTATTTCTGATGGAGAGTGGGCTCGAACTCTGGACTGAAGCCCTTGAAGTATCGACGGTATACATCGAGCAGCTACATCTGCTTTTCGGCAATGCGTTGCGGTTAATGGAGCGCGATTATGAGCATGTGGTGTTGGTGTTGACTTTAGTGGAGCAATACTTGCGACTGGGCAAGACGCAATTTTGGCAGACTTACCATCAGAGTGTTTGCGGTCTCTTACAAAGTTTGATCGGTAACGTGAAAACGGAAGCTTCCTTGCAGATCGCCCAAGTGACTGAGATCGTAGTCGCAACTCTTCCGGCTGATCAAGTGGAAGGGATCGTGCCTGCGATGAAACTAATGGTGGGAGCGTGTATCGCTTTTCAGCAAGGGGAGCCGAAGCACGAGCCGGAGAACGTGCTTGCCGGGTACTTAAGCGCCGTAGCTAGACTAATGGTGACTGACTCCAACTTTATGTTGAAGACTGTACTCGTGGACGATCACGAAGTAGTGGTGCTCGTGGATACAATGCTCAGATTGTTTTACACTGTGGGGACGTCGCCGTTGACGCTATTGAGGCGCAAGGTGTGGGCACTTGCATTGTGCTCTACCGTCATGTTGACAGGGCAGTCGCTATTAGAAAAGACTGGTCAGGTCGTGGAGGTTTGCATTGAGGTAATCGAAGAGGAACAAGAAGAACTAAAGCAAAAACAGGCAGCTGCTACTGCAGATGGAGATAAAGAAGGTCCGCGGTCAGGAGTTTACCGTGTTTTCTTAGCTCACCACAAGAGCCATCACCAGCAATTGAGTGCAGAGGATATCCCCGTATCAGCTTTGGACTTGAAGGATTTTGTTTGCCAACGATTGAACGACCTTGCAATCAAACTGGGCAGCAGCGCGTTTCACGATTTACTGCAAACTGTAGACTCGTCGGTGCTTCGCAAATTCCAGTCATAGACGATTTCACGAAACTGTGGCATACGCATTGCAGCTGCCTATGAAGCATACTGATTCCAGAATTGTGGCAGGAATTGACAACCGTCATATCTTAGCGTGTGGCGATTGATGATGTGGTGCGTGGTCACTTCGCGAGAGTTTTGTTGGCGCTCGGCAGGTCGCAATGTTCATTGAGCTGGAGCTCCCAACTTGTTTTCTAGAGCAACAAACAAGCGACGCGGATGCTGCAGGTCGCGCGATATCACATTTATAGCGATGTGGAGATTGCCAGGTGGGAGCGGGTGATACCGAAAGGGCTGTAGCGCATCTGCTGTGGTCCCGGAATGGCGTATAACGTGAGATTAATGCCGTAACGGCGAATGCTATTACGAGGGGATGCCATGAAGATTGTGCGCAAGGCCACGTTTCTGTTTGCTCGGACAGTTACCGGGACGCTGCGTTGGAGTCATTACTCAGATCAGCAGCATCGCCACCTATCGAATCATGCGCTGTCGTTAAGTTCGCCGGATTCATCCACGATTCGGGAGCCCTTTTTGACATGAGACGCGGAAGTGTAAACGTCGAAGCTGGAATGCACCGGTACGGAAGTGCACTTGTGTGCTAGTACAACGACTGATCAATCGATCTGAGTAAACTCGGTATAACGATCGGCTGACCTGCCTATCATGTTGGATTATAAACTACGATATCAAAGCCATGGTGGATCGGGGTCGTCTGCATCGATTATTGATCGGTTACGGCAGCACTTTTAGGTTACGGCCGAAGTACCGCTGCAGCTAATACGCCCTTGCTTTGTACTTTTTAGCGCCAAGAGATCTAAATTGTGTCCTTCCTGTTTTGTAGGTTCGACTCACCACTGGTCTAGGTATTTCTGTTGAGACAGCACCACAACAAAGGTCCACGAATCACCCAAATCCTACGTCATATTTAGGCCAATCAGTGCACTGCTTTATTGTATCTGAAAGAGCATGCGCCGCTCGAGTCTGCGGCCGCGGCAGATCGATGTGCACGCGCGCATGGCTATAATCCGGCAAGAAGACGATCTAGAAGCAGATGAAGATGGCACCGGTGGTAGCTCTCAGCCCCACGTGGCGTTTCGGCAGCTCGTAGCAGTACGAAACGATTTTATTCTTACGTTTTGTATGCTTCTATTGTGATATTTGTTTTGACAATACGAAAATTCATTGTCTTTATTCGATTTTGCAACATTGTCAGAATCTAGAAGCACGTCAGCGGGCTGGGAACCAATCCAAGCGCAAGCAGAAGGATATTCCGATTCCTGTTATTCTGCCAGTAACGTCTTACGACAACTCGGTGTCGGCAGACTTTGAAGTTCCTACGTCGTACGTGAGATTTCAGGCTTTACCCAGAGACGAGGGCCCGGCAGGATGCGAAGATTCAAACTCTGAGTCGCAAAGTGTTGAAGTGGATCTGGACCTGGAAGATATGAGGTGGCTCCGTCGCCACCCGAAGTACGGTGTGGATGGAGATCCACGCTATCAATTGTCGCAAGAACGTTTCGGTCAAATGCTCGACGCCTTGGAAAAAGCCTCAGCTTTGCTTAATCCCAACGTCATGACGTTGGCAGAGGCAGAGGACGTCTTTGCTAGGAGACTGAACATGCAGAAAACGCCGCTTAATCGCGTTACGTGCGATGTGTACACGTACTGGGCAGCCAAGCGTCAAAGGCTACGTCGTCCTCTGCTGCGGCGATTCTGGCCACAGACGCCACTGAATGACACAAATCCACACTCGGTGTTTCGACCGCGAGAAAAGGAACGCTATAAGCTTCGTAAACATCGCAAGAACGACTTGGAGGGATTTCGCAAGCTGCAGCAGCTTCGTGTGGACTTTGAGCGCGTGCGACGTCTGCTGGATTTAGTGCGGCGTCGCGAACGAGCAAAGAGACTGCAGCTGGATTTTGTGGATGAGATCCGTCGGCAGGCAGAACATGAACTTGTAAATCGTGGCCCGAACGCAGTGACGCGTAAGCCGATTATACCTGTGGATGGAGAAAGCGAGCGGCACAAGAAGAAAAAGAAGAAGAAAAGGAGACATCGCGATGGCGAGAATGGCAGTTTTGCAGATGGTACTTCATTATCAGGTATGAAAGCGGACGCCGACATGAAGCCTGACCAAGCGGCTGGTGCTGTGGAAGGACCACAAATTGCGCCCACTTTTATGGAATACGATACAACAGCAAATTTCGTGATGGAGGATATAACAGACACAGACGGATCGCCACGAAGTTATAGCAGCCCAGTGTACCCGTCCTACCCGCTGTCACCACCCAAGTTGATGGCAGCTATATTCCAGCAACCGCCCAAGTATAGGTGCCGCGGGCGTATCGGACGTGGTGGACGTCTGGTCATGGATCGGATACCTGTTCCATCTTCACGGTATTATGGTCCAACAGAGATAATGGCACCGACACTCAAGTCGAGTTCTTCGATCGTCAGTGGGGCACTACCAGGAACGGCAACACCTAAAGGTTGCGGGTCCAGCTTACCGATCGCAAACTCGGAGCTTGGCGTTGCTACCAGCCAAGGGGCTGTTTTTGTCCAAGAGCTGTCCATTCACCCTTTGATGCACAAAATTTACCAGGTTACGTCGAAGCGAATGGACGAAATCTACGGAATGAGCGACAGCGAAGACGAGTACGTGGAGCTTCTTTCCTCTTCGGTGTACGAGACACCTACTGCACCAACAACAAATAGTGGTGGGAAGGGCCTGGCCAGCGACACACGTGCAGGACCAGATCGAAAGGTGAAGTTCACGCTGAACATGTGAGAAAGGAGAAGGCGCGTACATCGTCTTGACATGAATAGTCCAGAAGGGCGAAGAGGAGAGAAGCGAAGACCGGACTTGAAGTGTATGCGACAGCTACGAAGTATCTGATGGCGAGACTGCTTGGTGATGTGTCAACTCTTGCCATTGCGGCAGGTCTGGTGAATACATGTACAATAACTCACCTGAGGACAGAAGACTACCTCGCCCGGCTTTATCTAGAAGACGACACTACGATGGGGTGCGTGTAATACGCGACCTCCAACTGATTTTCCGGCGCAGCACGAAAGTTTGCTGTCGTCTACGATGCAATTGAAGGTGAGTGAGTACAGTTTGTATGGTCATTGTCCTGGTTGACGGACTGTTGACATCAATGGTCAATGACTTCGAAACTGTGTGACCTGAGGACTGCAGCAGATACCTGAGGGGGTGAGTGGAGATAGCTGTACTTCCATACACAGTGTCACCTGGAGCAACGTACGAGGAGAACGAGAAGATGACCCTAAGCATGTAGCCGAACGGGTCCAAAATCAATGAACATCGAGGGAAGGTGCCGCTTGCAGGATGAGTCGGATGGAAGTAAGGTGCTGGTGACGCGATATACGCCATAGGGCGTGTCTCCGTAGGGCATTTGAAGAAAACACGGTCTAGCTCGATCCAGGCGACCACCAGTATGAATAATTGAACAGACCGATGCTGTCATATTCTCCTCAAATACGCAAACCCCGGCGTCAACCTTGCAGACTCTATGTCGACTTGACCACCCTTCTACTACTACTGCTCCTGCTGGCTATGGAGTATCCACTAGTTCGTGATACCGTCAGCCTGTACATCAAGCTCGACCTTTCACTAGCTGCTTTTTAGCCAATAACAACTCAAATCAGAGTTTGGTGATGCTCATTTTGGTAGAAGGACGTCTTGTTTTTGTTCTACACCGACAGCTCCTGTAGGCTTTGTGCATTTATTGTGTGTGTTTTTTTTTCGTCCAATTAGCTGAACGAACAACCCGCGATGTCTCACGATCGTGTCAGATGTACCCATGCACCTGTTCGGCGTCCACTACAATGTAGCCATGTACACAAATAGCTGTTCACCTCACATGTCGCACATTGTGGAGGGTCGTGTCCAGCATAAGATATTGTCCTCGTTCCGCTTCCGCGAGAGACATGAAAAGCGGGGCATTGTTTACGACAATGGTCTGCTTGGCTTACGTAACTGCGGGTCAAACAGCGACCAATCAGGACAGCGGAGAGGTCCAATGCACTCGAAGTAGCGACTGTGGCGACGTGCCCGCATTGGCCTGCATTGCAAAGTGAGTCCACTATCGCTCACCAACTAGTACATATCCCTGTCCATGAATTCATCTTGACTTAAGTTGTGCATGGATGACCACCATTTTTGCCATTTATTGCAGCAAGTGCGAGTACTGCCGTCGAGATGCTGACGACTGCAGTACCGATGGCTCCAAGCGCTGTCTCGTAATTGAGACTTTGGACCAAGCGACGGGCGAAATGAAGACTCAGCTGGCCCAAAACTCGATCGGAGAGACTGTTGAAGTGGCTTACTGCATCGAGAAGAACCTGTTCGATCCATTCACGTGGAGAGATGCGGTAGCAACAATCATCGCTTTTGTAAGCACTGCACTTGGCTCAGGCTGTGGAGTTGGCGGCGGAGGGCTCCTGGTGCCTTTTTACATCTTTTTCTACGGACTGAGCCCCAAACACGCCATCCCGCTGTCCAAGGCTACCATCTTCGGCAACGCTGTGTCTGCTTATATCTTCAACTTCAACCGGAAGCATCCGAGCAAGTGATTGTGTTCGAGCTAAGATGAAGAAAAGAGAGGGGACTGACGAAATCTACTGTGTACTTCTTGCTCGGCAGTTAACGGGAATCAGCCGCTCATCAACTACCAAGTTGCGGGAGTCATGGAGCCCACGACGCTGATTGGCGCCATCTTTGGTGTCATGATGAATCAGATGTTCCCGGCCTGGCTTATCTTGGTGCTCCTCGTCTCGCTGCTTTCGTACATCACGTATAAGACTTTTCTCAAGGGGAACAAGGTGGGCCTGGTAGTATGTTTGCACGTACTTGTGGCGATTGACACGCTTGCCTGTTTCATGCAGATTCACGAAAAAGAGACGAAATATCAGCTCGCACTTGTCAAGTCGGTGCTCGAGGGCGGTCCTGACGGTGGCGGCCGCGGTCGCCAATGGTCAATTTATCGCGTATGTACATGTGCATGTTTTTAGATCGTTGAAGACATTTTCTGTGAGGGCACTATCGCTAACGCACAATTGTATGTCAACAGCGCTTCAATGTGGAGATTGCTGCCCAGCGCTGGCTTGCAAAGACTCGCCGCAACAAGAAGCTGCGTCAAATTCAGCTCGAAGACGACGAAGACTTCCGGTCTCTACCGCCACTACGAGAGCAAGGGCTATCTAGTTCTACATCCTTACTGGGGGGAGCAGGGAAGCGAGATTTTGGCAGCTTCGTTTCGGACGACGACCAGATTTCGAAGAGGCGCAAGGCCATTGAGCGACACGAGATGCGAACGTTTCCGCTCAAGTATGTCATGCCATTGGTGCTATCGTGGCTGGTGGTGCTGATCCAATCCATGTTGCGCGGAGGACATGGAGCTCCCAGCATCATCGGACTCACCTGCAACTCTGTAAGCTATTGGCTGCTCACATTCTTGCCGCTGTCAATTTTGGTGGTGATCACGCTCTGGGTGGGGTACCAGTTGCGTCTACTGAACCGTCGCAAGGTTCTCAGCGGGCATCCGTTCATCCCGGGCGACATCCACTGGGTCAAGCGTCGCGTTCTTGTCTTCCCGATGTTGTGCACCTTGGCAGGTGTAGCCGCTGGTCTGTTGGGTATTGGAGGTGGTATGGTGAAGGGCCCTATCATGCTCGAGATGGGTATCCTGCCCCCTGTACAGTCAGCTACTGCCAACTTCATGATCCTCTTCACCTCTTCGTCGACAACGATACAGTTTGCCATCAGTGGTCAGTTCCCGGGCGAGCGTCAGTACGACTACATGGCTTGGTTTGCACTCATGGGCTGTTTCGGTGGCTTATGCGGCCAGAAGGTGGTAGCCTACCTGATAAAGAAGTACAAGCGTGAATCGATCATGGTCTACCTCCTGGCAGCGACAATTGGTTTGTCGGCTGTCGCCATGGGAGCCATCGGCCTGAAGTCGACTATGAGAGATCTGGAAATGGGCGCGCACCTTGGTTTCAATGGAATCTGTGACAAACAGTGAGCTGAGCTCGAGCTTTCATTACGCCGAAGCGACGGGACCAAGTACATTGTGGTTTGGCACTCTTAGCATTCGACTGGGCAACACACCATTTGACAATCAGAATTTCGTCGGTAAAGGTGTTTCGAAGTGTCTTCATACTCGAGGCGGGTATTTTGCTGCACGATTTCCGTTCTCATCGTAATCTTCATAACAAACTCTAGTCTGCGCATAACATTCATCTAACTAGCCTGCGACGCTTCAGTTGACAGCTGCTACTTACTCGTGGTGCGTCTAAGTTTACCCAAGTGTGTTTGTAGCAAATACTACAGTTGTCTGCTCGAGCTGTAGAGCTATGGAAATGAGATACGTTCCGATCGATTTCACGTTTATAGTTACAGGAAACCTACGACTCGGTCTCTCCAGCGGAGTTTTCTTCAATAGCCGTCAACAGTTGGTTTGGCACCCTATGGCTGCGGACACTGATGATCTGACGTGGCTTAGCTGATCGCACAATTAGGGGCTGAGATGTTGTCACTGGCTTGTGACCTTCTTCATACAACGAAGACAGCTCATCGGACATGTAGTTCACTTCATCTTCGTGAACCGAAAACATTGACTCGTAGTAGCTTTCCACCTCCTCCTCTTCATCGCTTATCAATAGATCGCCGTGCTGCTGCTGCTGGCCTCTGTCATCCGACTTGACAGCGTACCACGAGTCATCTTCCTGGTACGAACTGCAGCTGCTGTTCGAGCCAGGGGCAGCATCGCGCGCCGACTTAAGGACTCGGAAACTGTCTGCACTCAGTCTGTAGGGATCCACGTAGCCTTGTAGTTTATCTTGAGCTGCCTCGCGTCCATCAAGGAGCCACGTCATACGCATGTGCTGCTGTTCGCGCTCCATCTTTGCTCGAATGCGCATGTCCTCGACATGGTCCGAGCCTTGGTTGTAGTTGATAGGCGAGCTAATGCTCAGGAGACTGCTGCGTCTGCCTTCATCATCGAGATCGCTTGCCACGGTCTCTGCGATCGATCCGCGGCCTCGAAGTAGTGCAGAGCAGCAGGACGATTTCAACGGGTGACAACTCCAGTCGCTGACGTTGTTGCTCCGTCGCAGGTCTTCCGAACGCTTGTACACAGGTTCCGAGTCAGATGCGAATTCTGGCAGTTTACTAGTTAGCAATACTAGGACGTGGGCCTGGCGATGGCGCCGTGCTGCCGCTACAGCAGCGTCAATCGTTCTTCGAGTAGCTACTTGACGTTCTAGCAAGACGCTGACGCAGTCATAGTGTCCGTTTATGGTTGCCACCGTCAGTAGCGAGTATCCTTCAAAGGTGTAGTGAGCCCAGACATGAGGGTAGTGATCCAACAAGAAGCTCAAGATGTGGTGGCGGCCGTGCTCTGCAGCCACGAAGATGGGCATCGGCAGTTTGGAACTCGAGTGCTCCATTGCTGCAGCAGACAGAAGGCGACTTGATGCGTCGGAAGTTAGCGATTCGGTTGATCCGGTCGATGACCTAGACGTCGCTGAGCTTAGTGGTACCCGACGTTGTTGCAGTCGCTGGAAAGCGTTCCAGTGACCATGACGGATCACGAGGCAGTACATTGCGCGACTGAAGTGGGCCAGCACTTGCGGCTCGTCGAAAAACGCGTCTAGTAGTAGACTGAGTACCTCCACGTCACCGTCACCGTGGCGACAGGCTAACAATAGCGCATTGAGTTGACACGCGTCCGAGTGACGGCGGTGAAATCGTTGACGACCGTGTGTTTCGTCATCCATCCAAATCGGACATGCACCTTTCTCCAGCAACACTGCCACTTTTCGAGCTTTGCCGCCGGCTACAGCTTTTCGGAGTCGAAGTTGCAGTCCACGGTCGCTTTCATCATCTTTACGGAAGAGTTTGCGCATGATCGATGACACCTTTGTCATTGGCATTCAAGAAGGAGTCGAAAGGAGAGTTGAGGTCGAGTCTAGTGATGCTTGACAACTACAAGCGCAAATGCGAAGTGAACACTAGTGATTGACGACTGGAGTCGAAACATGTGCCACAGATTCACCACGACAGAATTGTCGTGCTCCGCTTGTTTTGTCGGTGAGACTTGTGACTGACCGTCGCAAATGTCCCCAGCTGCCGTGACATGCCTTCCGCCCAACAAGATGTCGAAGTGTTCGGGTGCTCTCTATCGTCGCACTTCCATGTGGTTTCGGTCAAACCGTAGGGATGATTACAAGTCGAAAGTAGCGGCAGAGACTTTTGAAACCATTCGGTTCGCTCCGTTGAGCGCCAGTCACCGCTCCACATTTCTAGGGGTAGACACTTCCTTTTTTGCGTCATGTGGTGCAATTACAGAGACACGAACGTAGCGGTACGCTAGACACGACCACATGACAGGCTCAGCTGCCTCTTGCGCTTGTCAAAGCTTTTTGCACGGAGCTCTATCTTAGCGTCGCATAGCGATGCTTTTGAGATTCATCTACACATCAAACTTGCATCCGACTGCAACTACGGCAGAGTGCGCTAGAATGCCATGCTCCTCTATTGTGAAACACTTACGAGCTGACAGCACTGGACGCTCGGTGGAAAGCGGACGACTGCAGCGCTGCAGTTCTGAACTGAAAGTACGTGCTGAGTATGAAAGCATCTAGTCTACACGTAAGCTGGGCGTGCTACCGATCAGAACAGCTTGGCTTTGACTATCGAGCACCTGTAAGTGATGATTATGAGTTCGCTTTGGCATGCCAGCTGACACCCGACCAAGCTCTGAAGTGCAGAAGGATATACAACCGAAAAGAACAGTACGAAACGCGCTGCAAATACGCGTGTTACTTGCAAGTTGATGACAGGTGAGTGGTTTATGGCGGTTGCATTTTCGTTGAGCCGTTGACGACACTAGTCGTGCAAAATAAAGGTCATCGATGGTGCGAACTAAGCGCACTTGATAGGTAGTCCCATGTGGATCGATAACAGCTTTCGGTGGAATAAACTTGAGATGTTTTTGACCCGCTGAACCACCGGACTGAAACAAGATTTTCAAGCGGCGAACGAATTGCAGTCACGATTCAGCTACAACATATTTGTCATGCTGCATGGGTGACGGATACGCGATTTTTGTTCCAGCGACACTGCAGAGACCAAGCCTGCTTCTCATATCGAAGACCAGGGGAATCAGGTTTTCGAGGCAACAAGTACGTCAAGTACCGCTTAGTTTAGCTTTCCGAATCGATTGGAGAGAAGAGCCAGCAAAAACTATCCACATTGAGGCGTTTGCGTAAAGGTGTATAGGATGTCAAGTGTTGATCGGCAAAGAGCCCTACTGACGCGGTTTTTTTCTCAAAAACATTAAATAGTGGTTGCAACCAACGTAGCTATAATTCGGTGAGCTTGATGTGGCTAAGAAAATCCACCGGTTCTGCAAAGTGGGTCGTCGACTCTTGATTGTTGATGCCAAGCTGGGCTTCGTTGGGTCTATCTTGCCCATCAACTATCATCAGTGACTTCTCCCTTTCTAGTCATTGACGCTTTACGATCTAATAACATAATACTCACTGCTGGTTGTTGACACCTCTCGCTCTGCAACTGCACCACATGCACCAAGCGTCGTCTGCTGAATGTACCCACAGCCAGTTTTTGTGTGCTTTTCCAGTCATCCGGAGTGTCTTAAAGCACTCCCAACGTAATTTCTGGGTGACGCATGCAGAAACTATGTTCGACCGATTGACGCAACCTCTACAGGCGTACAACATTGAAATACTATCAGACCGATTCAAAGCTCGGCATCGGAAACATTATGGCAATCAGCTTTTGCTGTTTTCTTACACATTGACACTTATGTGAGCCATTGAAGTAAGCTGAAAACAAGAGTATTCAGAACAACAGTAACTATTTCGAGTGCTTGCTGTGCGCCATACAAATTACATTACCTACATGCTTTTTCACAGTCTTGAAGCAAATAACAGAGACAAGACTTTCAATCAGTTTTAGTAATCATCACGTTATCATCGTTTCATGGTAGATGCGGATCACCATGTCACTCTTGCCGTACACTCGCGCGCTCAAGCGTAAGGCAGATGCTTTTTTTAACAAGCCAACTCGTCGACTGTTCTGTCAAGCTTTCTGTGGCAAAATCTACCATTCGCCCTTTATCACCACGGTCATGGTCATTACATGAAGTCATAACGGCTCTCGTTATGGTTTGATTAAAACCTGAAGGGGTTTGAATTTAGGACATGAGTGCATAGATTAGGTAGTATTAGGATTGAGATACTCTACAGAGTTGAACGTAGATAAAGTTCAGTTCCCCTTTTGATCTTGTCGAAGACACGTGCCTTGCGACGCGTCTCTAATCGTTTATCGCTAAGAGCTAGTAACACCTCCTTGAGGTAGCTACTCTTGAGCACTAAGTGCTGTAGATTCACTAAATCGTTTGGTCCCCTAGAACAGGGACCTTAAGATTTACGCTTGTTGACTCGTAATGTCCAGTTCTTTAGCGCTCGTTCTTTGAGCACTAAGTCTTCCTCTGAGTTAAGGAGCTGTGCAGCTCTGCTACAGCTGTGATAATCAACATATTTTATGCTTGTATATGGCGACCCAGCTCTGTGTAAATGGCGTACGATGACTAACTTCAGGAATGATATTGTCGATCTCGTGTTCATAATTTGATTGCATCCATAAAAACGACCACCATTTACTTGAATGAAACCGTTTATGCAAACACCATGCTCGTGGATACCATTTTTTTCTCAATGATATGGTCGCTAAGCTGACAGTGTGTCACGGGGCTGCGTTGATTTAGCATTCAGGTAAATTTACAATCGTCCAACTTGATAGTCTCTCCAACTACATACTCCAAGACCTCAACTAGGCCATAGATATTTTTTTCATAACCGATTGTCACATAGTTATCCGTGCCAAACCGCCTGTGCACAACCGAGTAACTTCTTTATCACCTTTCATACTAGAGCCGAGTGGTGTGTAGATGATGTCAGATAAAATGATGGACTCAACAGCAGAGTTGCTGGCAATTTCAATGAATACATCCCACTGCGCTCTCTCCCTGTCCATTGTCCACCCTCATGCAACTGTCCGCTCTCTTATTACGTGCAGTATTGTCCGCATGATATGATCGGCCTTTTGGAGTGAACTGAACGAAACAGATGTGCACTGCGTCTCAAAGCACCATCAGATGCGGGCCCTTGCAAATCTGATCGAGCTTGTGAGTTTTTCATTTTACAAATAAGAGCTTTATACCACATGCCTCGCTCCACCTTCAGCCAATTATCGATAAAGACATTCGATCCGAATGTCGTCCGTCAATCGACATGAAGACAGAATAGATCTGGTCTCACTGTCTTCCATACGAAGCATAAACTGGAATTCATCACACAATCAGCTTCATCCCCTTGCCATGGTGTTGAGTAGGAGCTTGTGGGCGAAGCAAGAAGTGGAGCGACTGATCACTCCCTCGAAAACACTGTGTTCTGCACAACAGTGTATGCAACATTCTCGTCAAGTTGCGGCTCAATCAGATAAGAATACGCTGTTAAGTCAAAGCATCTCTTGATCTTGCGATTACTTTGCGGTATTTACACGATTGTTTGGCCACAAAGAGGATGCTACAGTTGCCCCATATGCTAGGGTGATCATGACTTCTGAACTGAGCAATGAGCTGTTCTTGCAGTCCATGCGTACTTCGACGTCTGTCGTATGCTTCCCAGCCCATCACTCGTCACAGTACCCATGTGACAAGCAAGCAACGGATGGCTCGAATATTAGGTTCAGTGCGGAGCTACGATGCTAATATTGCGCAACTACTCGGCGAGAAAACGTCCGGATACATCTTGTCTTGTCAGCTGCAAGTATCCACACCATGAGGCCCGACGATGTCTCCTCGTTTGCAACAAGACGTCATACTTTGGCGGTGCTAAAACTTCCAAGGTCAATGCAAAGCGTAGTAAGCATGATCCAGAAGAATTGTGGTTTATACACGCACTTCAAGCACGACATGAACGCCAACCTTTCAACAACACGATGGCAGATGAAATTCGGGCGATAGCTGGATCAAAATATTCGGTACATCACTGCTTCTCGAGGAACGTAATAATCACAACGCAACAATCAGCTACAACTCGAGCGTTCCTCATCGGTCTACCATCTGAAGAAAAATGTCCATGACTAATGCTTGCTGGCTCGTCCATTCCTCGTCCACTCGTAAGAGTCGAGAGAAAAAGTGTCGGTGAAAAAACAGCGGGTTTCGAAGCAATGATGCTCTGTGTGGTGCTCCTGCACACTTCCACTGGTTCGTACACTCTAAGTGCAAAAAAAAGGCGCAGTGGCCACATAAATGGACAGCCGCCTCTCACCGTGTTAAAACCTCGACGTCCTCTTGGAGACGTTTTAGCTCGTACAGTACTAAAGTGCACTCGCGTTACTTCCGGTCGTCGGCTCGCTCGTTTTCTGTAGACGCCACGCAGGACAAGCGGCCAAACCATCCACTTCGTCCTGTTTCTACGCGAGTTCAGACAGCACATGCGCGACCGAACAACAGGTGGTGGCTCGACTGCATATCAACATCTCTATCTGCAGGCGTCCCCGCCCTGCCATGGACCTCGCGCGCGACAGTTATGCGCGGCCGTCGATGCTCGAGCGCGTATCGTCCAGCAACAGCCACTCGCGCTTCCCCCTTTCTACCGACTTCTTCCCACCCGTGACGTGCTCAGCCGAACAGCACGCGCTCTTCAAAGAGCAGGCTGATCGACTGTCCTCGGAAGCCGCGCAGAAAGCTGAGTGGACTGTGGCCTTTGAGACCGGCACGAACGATTGGAAGCTCCATAACTCGCACCGCCACTTTCGGGAGACCGGGATCCGCACCGCTAGCAGACGACGCGACGCCCGTGATCGGGATGGCCACCGACAGCTCGAGTTCTGCTGCGTGGGCAGCGTAGAGATGCCGGTCGACCACTGTCTCAATGCGCTCTACTCGGACACAACCACGGCCTTTCGCAGCAACTCGACGTTCATTATTGAGAGCACGCTGGACGCCGTGGTGCTTAATGTACTGGAGACTCGAACGGACGAGCAGCCACACCGCTACCTCGGTCTCAATTGGATGGCGAGTCGCTCGCCGGGTATCTTCTCGAAGAATCGGGACCTGTGCTATCTCCGAAGTATGGGCATGACAGTGGATAGTCAACAGACAAAGGTTGGGTACTTGGTCATCCAGTCCGTTGATTTAACGGAGTGCGCGTCATTGGAAAATGCGCTCGGCCTCGTTCGTGGCAAAATGTCGGCTGTGCTGCTGTTTAAGGAAAATGCAACGTCTCGCTCGACCGACGTGTTATGGCAAGGGTCGATGGGGTCGCCTGGCCACTCATCCAGCAAACTCATCCATTTCGTGCACGATATGTTTACGTCTATCGTTTTAAACCTACACAAGGTCCAGGAAGCGAAGTACATGGCACGACAAGTGAAGAACCAGAGGGTTCAACGCCAGATCGCCAGGTAAGCACATTGCTGCAGCTTTAACGCCGTGCTGCTACCGAGTTTGCTGACACTTTGTGATTTGGTTTGACTAACAGGGAACGCAAACTCTGCTACATTTGTAGCAGGAAGTTTAACCTGGTACGCGTTCGCTCCCAATGCAGTGCCTGTGGTGAAAACATGTGCAAGGATTGCGAAGTTTCAAGCCGGGCTAGAGCGTTTGACAGCGAAAGCTTCGACGTCCCGACACCGACGAGCCGCCCGGACTCCGTGTTGTTTTGCAAGAAATGCGTGTCCGATGCACGTTGCGACATACATGGTCAGTCAGGGATCGTGAACGCACGGGCAAATTTGTCCATGCTCTCAGGTTACGACAGCTTCTTCTCTGCTTCAGCAGACGAGGAGGACCTTCACCCCTCGACTGCTGGCAAAAGTTTGAACCACAGCAGTAGAACAAGCACGAGCTCGTTGCAGAAGATGGCGGCCAACATGAGCGAAAGATCCGTTACCCGTAAGGGCAAGCGCTCCGGTTTTGCCTCTCTGTACATCACGGCAGCAATTCAAATGTCCAGCGCTGGCGAAGTCCCTATGAGTCCCTTGTCGATCCGAACGGAACGTGAAAAGCAACGTTGTCGATTGGAATCCGACCCCATGGAAGTCTACGATGGCTTGGACAAGTACGAATACGACAGTCTATTGAAAAAAGACGAGTACGATCCGCATGAGCGGCTAGAAAGCAGCAGCGGTTTCAACAGCTCCAAGTATGCGGCATCGGACCACCGGAGCGGGTCTCACGAATCTCGTGACAACGATATGGCGAGTCGATTACGGGATATCTCCCAGCGCGCTCAGGAGGCTCTGGAAGTCACGAAGCGCAACTCGCACATGATGAGTAGTGACACCAGCAGCGCCCCACGTGTGTCTGACCTGACTGCCTTCAAGGAGCTTGACAAGTCCATTGCCGAGCAGGCCGACTTGCTCAATGCCATCGGGTTTGTGAGCACAGGTCGCGTGTATATGGAAAACACGGGCTACGAGCAAGGCGGGGTGCGGATCAGCGCGTCCTCCAGCCTCATGAGTGAAGCCGAGCGGTTCGAAGTGATTGCGTAGTTGGCAGACTTCAAGTTATAAGTAGTGACTAAACGAGGTGCACTCGTACACCGTAAAGTATCCATCAAACCTCTCGCGGTTACATTAGGGAGAAATGACTGGCGCAAAAACCTCCGGCTCCACTATGCACCCACCCACTCTTGACAACGAGTGTCAGTATAATTAACGAACTACTTTCAGAAGGGATTCCTACTTGGTGGAAGATAAACCACCGGGATATCCTCCAAGTCCCAACATCGAAGGACCAGCTATGACTGGACACGATGTGAGTCACTCTACGTCGCTTACGCTGGGGATAGGGCTGCTAGCTGCTACCATGACGATCGTCACTGCAGGCAGCGTGGGTCTTCTGGGCTTTATTCTGGGTCGACAGCTGCCCCAACAGGAAGCTCCCAACAGCGCGAGTCTACACGACAAGAGCTCAGTGGAACAGGAGCGACGCCGTCGACTGCGTATCCCGAGCGGAACTGCGAGTGAAGATGTCAAGGTCTCGGACAAGAATGCGATCGTGGACGTGCGAATCTCTGACATCCGGCCTCTCATGCCGCCGGCCATTTTGCGGGAGGAGATCCCACTCACGACGACGATCGTGCAGACGGTGAGGACAGTGGAGTTGATGCGATGGTCAATTGGATGAGGTAGTGCATTGCACTGACATTGTTTGGTTTGGTTTCTTTTCATGTAGATCACACGAAGTCGACAGGGGCTGGCCAATGTGTTGCGTCGTCTAGATGACCGTCTTGTAGTCGTGGTGGGGCCGTGCTCTATCCACGACACGGACGCTGCCATGGACTACGGTAAGCTCAAGGATCTAGGTGGGAGGTAGAACAAGTAGCAACGACTAATGGGTCCATACGTCTTGTGTAAAACTCACTGCAGCGAAGCGCTTACTGGGACTTAAAAAGGAGCTGAACAAGGAGCTGCTTATTATCATGCGCGTGTACTTTGAGAAGCCACGAACGACCGTCGGTTGGAAGGGACTAATCAACGACCCAGACCTCGATGGATCTTTTAACATTAACAAGGGTCTGCGAGTAGCTCGGGAGCTGCTGGCTGCTATCAATGAGCTCGGTCTGCCGGTAAGTTAATTTGTTATCACTGCCCGCTGCCCGCTGCATTTGTACGTCCATACTGACAACTCGAACGGCTCTCTTCATGTAATACAGGCTGGCTGCGAATTCCTGGACACCATGTCGCCGCAATTTATCTCGGATCTGGTCAGCTGGGGCGCCATTGGGGCGCGTACTACCGAGTGCCAGCTGCACCGAGAGCTTTGCTCGGGTCTATCCATGCCCATTGGTTTTAAAAACGGAACAGGTGGTGATCTGCAGCTGGCGGTGGATGCTGTTGTGGCGGCCAAACACCCGCACTGCTTTCTGAGTGTAAGCTCGCAGGGTCTGGCCGCCATTGTCAACACCTCTGGCAACGATACGTGCCACTTGATTCTCCGTGGCGGCAAGGTAGGCCCCAACTTTGAAAAAGAGCACATTGTGGATGCGTCTGCCCGTATGCTCAAGGCGGGTCTGGTGGACAATATCATGGTGGACTGCTCGCACGGCAACTCGCAGAAGAAGCACAAGAATCAAGTCACGGTAGCTGCTAATATCGCCGATCAACTGCGCGCCGGTGATGACCGCATTGTTGGTGTGATGCTCGAGTCTAACATTGAGGAGGGCAATCAGCCGCTGACCCCCGGCAAACCGCTCGTGTACGGCAAGAGTGTGACTGATGCCTGCATGGGATGGGAAACGACCGTCGCGGTGCTGCGCGACTTGGCTTCTGCTGTGCGTGAACGCCGGGCTAGGAACCATCAGTAAGCGGCCATGCCAGAAACAGGATCGATGATTACTTCCATCGCTCCAAGAAAAAGCTTACGACACTCTGCTCATCAGTGTTGAATGGACTGCCAGTATTAGTGTCAGAGCTGTGCTGATACATGAGACTTCGTTAAATGGCCTAGCCAGTACAGACTGAGAGTATCTCTGCCATGCTTCTTGATCGCGCATACATTATTGAAAGCAGCGTCGGCTACTTTACTAAGACAAGATGTAAGTTCTGGTGGGCCCGCGATCGTGTGAACCACGTTCTGAGCATATAGCGTGCATGAAATGGCGACACCAGGTCGCCCGTAGGTTGCGTGTGATAGAATCGAGCTCAGAGAAGCTTTTCTGGGGCCGATTGGTGGACAAGAAGTGGCGGTGCAAGTAGTCCGTTTGCGTATGCATGTTGCATGGCTGTAGCTGTGTGGTATGTCGCTATGTGGTATTTTGTGTGCGATGTAGGGTTGTGGTTAGCACCGTAGGTCAATTGGCCGAGCGGTCTAAGGCGCCAGTTTGTGTAGGTTCAATTACAGGGCGCCGGATATAGGCTTATAATGTAGACGAGCAACCACCAATGAGTGACCGGTGCCGTCCGGAGGCCCTACAAGCCGAAAAGCCCAGTAGTGTAATGAGGGGTGCGGGTCCTGTAAGGAGTTCAAACTGAGTTAGAGTACTCGCAGTTCACCCCAGGGTGATCTGAAGGACCGCACGGCGTAAATCTCTCTAAGGCGCCAGTTTAAGGCACTGGTCCGAAAGGGCGTGGGTTCGAATCCCACATTGGCCAGCGTCTTCGTTCGAGCGAACGCTACTGTATTCACTGCGACATCATGCCTTCGACGTGCGGGAAGACTAATCTCTATGGTGCAATCAATCTTGCTGGGCAATCCTGCTTGATTTTATGGCTGTATTATCTGCTGTTATCTTGCCTCACGGGTCTTTCGCCCGACACCTGCTCAACCACCAGTGTCAACCCATGACCAACTTGCTTTCTCTGGGCTACGAGCATCGCTCGCAATCATGCTGAAATGACTCTGTACTTCTCCACACCTGAACGTAGGCACGATAGGCGCTCAACTGCGAGACGCAGCACTAGTATGGACTGACTCCTGACCCGATCGTTGAAGTGATGAACAGTGAGACGGATAAAGCTGCGGTATGCTTGTGTGGTATTGCTCGGAAAAGTGTGTTAGTTCTGGTGAGCCCGCAATCTGCTCAACGACCTGTGAACCATGTTATGAGCATATAGCGTGCATGGAATGGCGACATCAGGTCGCCCGTAGGTTGCGTGTGATAGAATCAAGCTCAGAGAAGCTTTTGGGAGCTGATTGGTGGACAAGAAGTGGCGGTGCAAGTAGTCCGTTTGCATATGCATGTTGCATGGCTGTAGCTGTGTGGTGTGTCGCTATGTGGTATTTTGTGTGCGATGTAGGGTTGTGGTTAGCACCGTAGGTCAATTGGCCGAGCGGTCTAAGGCGCCAGTTTAAGGCACTGGTCCGAAAGGGCGTGGGTTCGAATCCCACATTGGCCAGCGTCTTCGTTCGAGCGAACGCTACTGTATTCACTAGGTCATCTTGCCTTCGACGTGCGGGGAGACTAATCTCTATGGTGCGATCAATCTTGCTGGGAAATCCTGCTTGATCTATGGCTGCATTATCTGCTGTTACCTTGCCTCACGGGTCTTTCGCCCGACACCTGCTCAACCACCAGTGTCAACCCATGACGAACTTGCTTTCTCTGGGCTACGAGCATCGCTCGCAATCATGCTGAAATGACTCTGTACTTCTCCACACCTGAACGTAGGCACGATAGGCGCTCAACTGCGAGACGCAGCACTAGTATGGACTGACTCCTGACCCGATCGTTGAAGTGATGAACAGTGAGACGGATAAAGCTGCGGTATGCTTGTGTGGTATTGCTCGGAAAAGTGTGTTAGTTCTGGTGAGCCCGCAATCTGCTCAACGACCTGTGAACCATGTTATGAGCATATAGCGTGCATGGAATGGCGACATCAGGTCGCCCGTAGGTTGCGTATGATAGAATCAAGCTCAGAGAAGCTTTTGGGAGCTGATTGGTGGACAAGAAGTGGCGGTGCAAGTAGTCCGTTTGCATATGCATGTTGCATGGCTGTAGCTGTGTGGTGTGTCGCAATGTGGTATTTTGTGTGCGATGTAGGGTTGTGGTTAGCACCGTAGGTCAATTGGCCGAGCGGTCTAAGGCGCCAGTCTGAGGCACTGGTCCGAAAGGGCGTGAGTTCGAATCCCACATTGGCCAGCGTCTTCGTTCGAGCGAACACTGCTGCTGTATTCACTGCGATATCTTGCCTTCGACGTGCGGGAAGACTAATCTCTACGGAGCGATCAATCTTGCTGGGCAATCCTGCTTGATTTTATGGCTGTATTATCTGCTGTTACCTTGTCTCACGGGTCTTTCGCCCGACACCTGCTCAACCACCAGTGTCAACCCATGACGAACTTGCTTTCTCTGGGCTACGAGCATCGCTCGCAATCATGCTGAAATGACTCTGTACTTCTCCACACCTGAACGTAGGCACGATAGGCGCTCAACTGCGAGAGGCAACGCTGGTATTGACTGACTCCTGACCCGATCGTTGAAGTGATGAACAGTGAGACGGATAAAGCTGCGGTATGCTTGTGTGGTATTGCTCGGAAAAGTGTGTTAGTTCTGGTGAGCCCGCAATCTGCTCAACGACCTGTGAACCATGTTATGAGCATATAGCGTGCATGGAATGGCGACATCAGGTCGCCCGTAGGTTGCGTATGATAGAATCAAGCTCAGAGAAGCTTTTGGGAGCTGATTGGTGGACAAGAAGTGGCGGTGCAAGTAGTCCGTTTGCATATGCATGTTGCATGGCTGTAGCTGTGTGGTGTGTCGCAATGTGGTATTTTGTGTGCGATGTAGGGTTGTGGTTAGCACCGTAGGTCAATTGGCCGAGCGGTCTAAGGCGCCAGTTTAAGGCACTGGTCCGAAAGGGCGTGGGTTCGAATCCCACATTGGCCAGCGTCTTCGTTCGAGCGAACGCTACTAGATTCACTAGGTCATCTTGCCTTCGACGTGCGGGGAGACTAATCTCTATGGTGCGATCAATCTTGCTGGGCAATCCTGCTTGATTTTATGGCCGCATTATCTGCTGTTACCTTGCCTCACGGGTCTTTCGCCCGACACCTGCTCAACCACCAGTGTCAACCCATGACGAACTTGCTTTCTCTGGGCTACGAGCATCGCTCGCAATCATGCTGAAATGACTCTGTACTTCTCCACACCTGAACGTAGGCACGATAGGCGCTCAACTGCGAGACGCAGTACTGGTATGGACTGACTCCTGACCCGATCGTTGAAGTGATGAACAGTGAGACGGATAAAGCTGCGGTATGCTTGTGTGGTATTGCTCGGAAAAGTGTGTTAGTTCTGGTGAGCCCGCAATCTGCTCAACGACCTGTGAACCATGTTATGAGCATATAGCGTGCATGAAATGGCGACATCAGGTCGCCCGTAGGTTGCGTATGATAGAATCAAGCTCAGAGAAGCTTTTGGGAGCTGATTGGTGGACAAGAAGTGGCGGTGCAAGTAGTCCGTTTGCATATGCATGTTGCATGGCTGTAGCTGTGTGGTGTGTCGCTATGTGGTATTTTGTGTGCGATGTAGGGTTGTGGTTAGCACCGTAGGTCAATTGGCCGAGCGGTCTAAGGCGCCAGTTTAAGGCACTGGTCCGAAAGGGCGTGGGTTCGAATCCCACATTGGCCAGCGTCTTCGTTCGAGCGAACACTGCTGCTGTATTCACTGCGATATCTTGCCTTCGACGTGCGGGAAGACTAATCTCTACGGAGCGATCAATCTGGCAATCCTGCTTGATCTATGGCTGCATTATCTGCTGTTACCTTGCCTCACGGGTCTTTCGCCCGACACCTGCTCAACCACCAGTGTCAACCCATGACGAACTTGCTTTCTCTGGGCTACGAGCATCGCTCGCAATCATGCTGAAATGACTCTGTACTTCTCCACACCTGAACGTAGGCACGATAGGCGCTCAACTGCGAGACGCAGTACTGGTATGGACTGACTCCTGACCCGATCGTTGAAGTGATGAACAGTGAGACGGATAAAGCTGCGGTATGCTTGTGTGGTATTGCTCGGAAAAGTGTGTTAGTTCTGGTGAGCCTGCAATCTGCTCAACGACCTGTGAACCATATGATGAGCATATAGCGTGCATGGAATGGCGACATCAGGTCGCCCGTAGGTTGCGTGTGATAGAATCAAGCTCAGAGAAGCTTTTGGGAGCTGATTGGTGGACAAGAAGTGGCGGTGCAAGTAGTCCGTTTGCATATGCATGTTGCATGGCTGTAGCTGTGTGGTGTGTCGCTATGTGGTATTTTGTGTGCGATGTAGGGTTGTGGTTAGCACCGTAGGTCAATTGGCCGAGCGGTCTAAGGCGCCAGTTTAAGGCACTGGTCCGAAAGGGCGTGGGTTCGAATCCCACATTGGCCAGCGTCTTCGTTCGAGCGAACACTGCTGCTGTATTCACTGCGATATCTTGCCTTCGACGTGCGGGAAGACTAATCTCTACGGAGCGATCAATCTGGCAATCCTGCTTGATCTATGGCTGCATTATCTGCTGTTACCTTGCCTCACGGGTCTTTCGCCCGACACCTGCTCAACCACCAGTGTCAACCCATGACGAACTTGCTTTCTCTGGGCTACGAGCATCGCTCGCAATCATGCTGAAATGACTCTGTACTTCTCCACACCTGAACGTAGGCACGATAGGCGCTCAACTGCGAGACGCAGCACTAGTATGGACTGACTCCTGACCCGATCGTTGAAGTGATGAACAGTGAGACGGATAAAGCTGCGGTATGCTTGTGTGGTATTGCTCGGAAAAGTGTGTTAGTTCTGGTGAGCCCGCAATCTGCTCAACGACCTGTGAACCATGTTATGAGCATATAGCGTGCATGGAATGGCGACATCAGGTCGCCCGTAGG